TTTATAGATACATTTAAAGATTATTTGGAAGGTGATGCACATTGTTTAACTCTGTGTACCGGCAAGGACGGTGTATGAGTATCTACTGATGATCCAGGACAATCAGATGAACTGAGAGATGGTAGGGGCATATAAATGGGGTGCGCTGTTTGATACTTCCAAATTCTAGGAATCCTTGAGTAAATGCACATTAGGAACAGCTCTTTAGACTTGTACTTTTCGAGTCTTCGGGGTGGGATTGGCCACTCCTAAAATATCACATATCAGAATTTTTAGTGCCACACTCTGGAGACTTGGTTGGTATTTTGTAGGGAGTGGCCAGGAGAAAAATGCAATTATGTGAAATATGCAAACCAAATGACATTCTGGGCTGTCGGTTCAAAGAATAGCTTTTCAACGTTAAAAATAATGGTTGGTGCAGTGCAGTCGTACTGTTCCAGTCAAAATTATGATTCATGTGACTAAATTGTTTAATCGTATTTCAGGAAACCGTGGAAGTTTCTTTATATAGGGTTTTACTACCAGGTCTTTTTCCTAGAGAAAGTTTCATATGGAAGTTCCCTTAAGCTCTCATTGAAATTTTGTTTGTATCAGAATTGCTTACAGAATTTTCCGGGATATGTAAGATAAATGTGAACACCACGACGTAGCATAGGAGCTCAACGGCTCACCAGGACTAGGAACATAATATTTTATTTTTTTACACCTGTTACGTAAAAGTAAAAAATGAATGATTTTGAAGTGAAGTGCACATAATTTTTTGATCCACCAGAAATCTGAAATGGGTTTCATTTTTACTGTTCTCTGGTGCATACGTATTGCACAATTTCTGTGAACGAAGCATAGTGTGGTGTGAAGCATAATGTAGTGTGTCTTCAAGAATCTCATAAGTCTCATTGCCTATGTAGGAAAGCACGTTCCTTGCTGTCGGGCAAGGCGTACAGAAAGAAGACCCTCGCGCTGCATATCTGTTTTGATTGAAGGCAACTATCCCAATCGAGGGCTGCCGAACTTATCCGTTGTGGGACAAAAGGGAATATCCATGAAGCACTTCTCAGCGCAACGGCATCATGGGGCTGAGTAGCCGTGTTCATCTCACACGGTGTCAGTCGTTTCAGAAAGAGCAATGTGTGTGTGGGGAGATTTAGGAGTTTTTAACTAAGGTTTCGTTCTGTAAATTAAACTAATCGTTGTAACTTCAGACAACGAGTGAAACTCATGCATGATGAGTCACCATTCAAGAAGCCATCCAACACGCAACCACGTGATACGGATTTAGTAATTGAAGTATGAGTTTCGCTGTATACCGTCTAAGTGAGAGCAGAACAAAATCCACTGGTCACCGAACAGTTAAACATTCAAACTACTTGCCGAAAGGTCTTGGGTTCAAATCTCCGTGGAATTTCATGAGTTGTGCACTATTGATGATTTAAAATCTGGATGAGGGCTGTGCCCTGATTCCCAGCTTTTAGCGTAGACCGGCTTGACTCACAGGACGATGCCCCAAATAAAGTTTTTTTTTGTCATGGCGCAAGAAACGCCCCAAACCTTGCTGCTTCTTCATGTGCAGGTTAGTGGCCGAGCTTCCTCTTCCCACAGGGAGTCACCGCGCCCCGAGTTCAAAAAATCGCCCTTCTTTCTGGAAGATATCGTCCAGGTAAAAAAAGCTAAATCAATGTCACTTACTTTGTAAATATTAATTCAGTTGATGTTCAGAAAGCCTGCATCGTTTCATGCGCAGAACACCAAGGCGAAGTACACGATCCTTGTTTTGAATTTTGCCTTTACGGTGCAGAATGAAGAGTTAATTCAATGCGACGCGAATTATCGCCTTACTGCTTTCTGATTTATCATGATTCAGGAGATGCGCTACTAAGTTCATTCTACTAGTTCGTGCTAACCACCGGTTACTGTTGGTTGATCGGATGGCAGTAAACACTCCTGAGCTAACTATATTCCGACAAATTAATGACCACCGGTTAGTTTACAAAGGAAATAACTAGTTCAAAACCTTTAGGAATCCTTGTGGCTGTGTTAATAGCAATCAACGGCTTTATTTACTGTACTAAACTGGCCAAATGGGCAAATAAAAGAAACACATTGAATCTCTTTATCCAAAAATCAATAAGTTGCATCACATTCGTTAGCGCAACTTTACAGTCCTGGCTTGCCCTTGAATGCAGTGCTCCGTAAAATTGCCGCAATCAAGTCCTATATCTATGTTGGACGAGGAAGTCTAGTAGAGGACACAGAAAACTTCTACTTGAAGATCCGGACAATCGCCTAGTCTTGGGCGTCGTGCTACTGACCAGTCGGTCCTTGAAAAATACTGGTGTGGTTGCAAGGAGGTGAAGCACCAATCTTGCCATCAGAACGATGATGATGATCATAGGACAATGCACTAACAACGATTTTGCAATACATTTAAAATAACTGAGCTGTAGGCAATTAATCGAGAACAATCCGCGATTATGTAGCTAACGCATTAGATTCACATTTCCACTGCAAGTATAGTGTACGAAAACGGTGAGGGATTTCTGTGCACTCTTCTGAGATTCCGCCGTCGTGTAGACTATATAACATGTTTTCTCATGGAAAATACTACCTTGTTACTACTGATCCCGGAGAAAAGTATTTATACACCATGATGAAAATAACGCAAGAGTAACAGTAGCCTTACATGGCGAACAAACATCTTATCAAGGGGAGAACGCAGTGAGGAGGACTGCCCACACACGGGTGTCAATGATTTTGCATAGTGGCTTTGACAACCGCACAAGAAAAGCTCTCCCATACCAAGGTTTATTGTTTCGAATGAATCTGGGCAGCTAGGAAGGCCGAACCATATTTATAATTGAAAACTTTCCATAGCATTACAGATTTTCATCATAATGTTTGTAAGTAAAGGAACGAAAAAGCATAATTCATTTTGTTTCAACTTTCAGGTTCATCACATTTACAATGCGGTCAAGTTTCGATTTCAAACTCGTCGACAATATTTGCCTCCAATTCGGTTGAATTACCGACAATCTGCTTCATGGAGTGCATCTGTCTCCTGATAGGTCTCCTTCCAACCAATAATTTATTTTTATACTATACAGAATAACTAGGAAGCAGTCAATAATGCACCCTTGGTTTGACGCGAAATTAACACAACCTGATCGATAGTGCAACTAACAGATTCGCACCGAGTATGCCTGGGTGAAACGTGTGGAGTTTATCAATCCGTATTGATTTGAAACATTGCGGAAGCACCCGTGAGCGCAAAAAGCTTTAGGTTGGCGGTTTCATATATATAAGGCTTTTTGGGATGAATCGGGTTCTTAAATATCCCTTACTACCTGTCGAAATCATGCACAGATGGATCTATCTAGCCTTGTTGTTGATTAGTGCTCAACGCCCTGATGTATGTGATGCCTACGGCTATGGAAGCCGACCTTTGGTGTACCATGAAGACAGCAACTGTGATGACACGTACGACTGTACCGAAGATTCAAACCGTCCACGTGGAATAAAAGAGAACAAATACAATAGAGGTCTATGGAACCGACTACCTCTACCCAGCGTCGGAATTCCAGGCGCCTAGATACGAAAAAAAGAGGGAACTGTGTGGTTCAGAATCATTTGCAACCTATTATGATGCATGAATATACAACTCAGTGTGTTCACATGCTGTTTTATTTTATCTTTGGGGGTAAACTTTGAAAGACTGTTGCGTCGACCTTTTTGAGGGTTTCATCATACAATACGTGAAAGTTAAAAAAATGCTCACCAGTCACTTAACAGGATGACTGAAATATTTTTCTAATGCGGAAATTTTGTAGGTGGTTAGATCCATCATTAAGAGGCACTCACCAAATGAAGTAGGATTGTTTCTTTGTGTTGCAAAAGCATTCATCGGTTGCATATTGCTCCGTCATACCCCACTTATACAAACGTTTTCCCAATATATATTTTGAATACAACAATACTGGTCCCCCGTTCTTTAGCTGTTTTTCATATATTAATCTTATTTGATCTGTCCCGGTTAGTTTTTTGTACACATTCTTTAGTTATGTCAGGCACCATAAGATCCCCGAACTATAGAAACACTCGGTGTTCCCGGTGTCATTCTCGACCTAAAATGTCACCACAGTTTGTGGAGTACCTACCGCCGTCCAGTTAATTTCAGCCTTCATGTTTTGCTCGAACGTCCACCACACTGTCTCTTTCCTCAAGCGTTCAGCAATTTTCTGACCAATTCACCTGACCTGCACAAGCTCTCCCGTTAAAGGCGAGATGCACCTCAAATGTCTAGGACAGCATGCATGCCAGCAGATGGATGTCTCTGAGTGATTTCAACCGTCGGCCAAATGACTTGAACTCACTCCGTTTTACACTGTTTAAAGTCTAACTTTCGAATACGATGTTTCGAAGACTTTCAGTGTGAAGAACGAGCACACATAGCAAGCGAATGCAGATGATGAAGTTTGGATACAGAGTGGAATGCATAGGGCTTGATTCCATACAAAGACATCTACCCTCCTAATCAATAGATTGCCTGAATGTTTCGTCGTTACTAATGAAAAATCTAGTGATTCACAGAAAAGACCAGTCGTTGATACCGTTTGGGTACTGAATTTACGCTGACTAGAACTGAAAGAGCAAACTTTTCACAGATTCTTAATAGGAATCTTGAATAAGCATATTGCGTACGCAAATGCAGCTGTCAGTTGTCGAACTCTAATCCATGGCCTCTGATTTATTTATTGACCGCCAGGTCCTCAAGTGATTATTTATCCCTCTGAGCTATTTCTGCATGTTGGTTGGATAGAAAATATAATAGGTCATTTAAAAAGCCAAACATTCCATCGAGATTTCACTAGGTATGTCCCAAGAGCATTTGTGTTTACCGGCACTGTTGGGTGAGAACTAACCAATAATTAATAGAAAACATATACATTTAGAAGTCTGTAAATGCATGAATGCAGACGTATACCTGAGTTATTCAATGCACCCACTTTTGCAACCATCGCGTCGTCATCATCATCCATAACAACATCGGCAACCAAAAGCGGCTTTCCACTTTTAAGGGACTCTAGAAGCTGCATCTTCGTTTGTACCTGACAAGGAAGTCCAATGGACTCATGTGCACATTAGAGGTAAAAAAGGTAGGCCCTAATTTCAGTGTTGATGTGTCACCGTTGATGGCAACATTTTTCAAGGCTTAATTCTGAAAGGGTGAATAAAAATATTTCAACCTATTCGGCACTGGGTGCAAGACTGTGTCATCCAGTCGCAAAATCCTGAGTTCCGGCGAAAGAAATATGGTAATACCGATGGGTTTTGTGTGCTCTACTGCACTGCCATGCCGTGTTCCACTTACACAATATATCAAGTTTGTAAGAAGTTGGGATAATAACGCTGAAGGAAACCGTCTTATTCTTTGATGGTATGAACGCAATTCTCATGACTGTTTGCACAAACCTTGCTTTCAAGCCCGCGCTAAAGAATCTAATAAAGCATGGTTATATGGCTGTTATTTTCCAAGCAGTCGGAGTCACATTTAAAAAGTGGAATGGTTTAAGTTTACGCCAATTTATAATTCAAAATAAAATGGCAGTAGGAGAAATCGCACAGAAAAGCTCAAGCTGTTTTGCCAAACAAATGCCGATGCCTCACTCTTTTCATACCCTAATAAAACGTGAGTTCAAAAATACCTGAAACTCGTGGTAAAAAGATAGAAGTCATGTGAGAAAGAGAAACAAAACAAAGTAGAAGACAGACACAGGTATACCAAAGACAGGCTTATATAAATGCTTCTGTTGTTGCGCCTTGGGCACGATTGCACATAAGAGATGAGTCCATGCTTGTTGATATCGCATTCCATTTTTGGATGCAGTAAAGTGTCTGTATCAAATGTTCTCCGGAACAGAGAACAATTCTTTCCACAAGCGTCCATCCCCTCGCTTTTTAGAGAGCCATTGTTCGCATGGGAAATTGATCGTAGCACCTGTATCCATGTTAGTTATACGCACTTTATCGAGGAACCAGTCAGTTCTGGTGCTTGTGTTATCGTGTTCGATCCGCAGACGGGTTATTTTGCCTGAAACAAAATGAATATGACTCGAGGACTCAAACCATTAGGAAAAACAAAAAAAGCAAATGGAGGGGAAATAAAGATATTTTGCCAAATTTAGAAGCTGTACATTGTTGTGCGTAGCCTGAGCAAAGTTAACGAGGTATCTCCCTCTGTTGGATAGCTCGTCGTTATTCTGTTTTCGATGTCAGTGACTTCTCGTGACTTTTGATGGGACTTACGCAGGTTCGTGAAAAGATACCTGATTCACTAAATTACAAATAGGGAAAATTAATAGGGCGAAATCTAGTAATCTGAGACAACATTGGCAAACAAACCTACTAGTGTTCATCTTGATGTGCAATGTTTGCACTTATGTATAATGGTGGAAGGGGGCAAGATGGCTCAGTGATTAGAACGCGAATTTACTGACCGGAGGGCCCGTGGTTCGAACCGGGCTCCGCATCGTGACTTCTTCTGTCTAGGGTTGAGCAACCTTGCGGTATCCCAGCCGTCATGACTTCTTCGAGTGGCATGACAGCCAGGCACCAAAAGGATAGTACAGCTGAACGAATATTTATTTTGGTGGAATGTGAAGCTGACTTATGGATAGCCTTCACTTTTAACTGGGGGTACTGAAGGGTCTCAAAGGAGGATACACGATGAAAGGGTGGACCAAACACGAGTTATTCTTCGGAAAGCCGGATAAACTTTTCAGCACAACAGACTCAGGTGAGATTAGTCCTAAAGAGGAGCATTGTACGGTTGGTTTGCTGCACTTGTAGTTTCGTCACATAATTAAACTGGACAAAACAACTGGTCATCCAAAAATGGATATCCCCAGCCGAACTAGCAACTCACCAAGATCGATACAATGAATCTGAAATTCGTCCAAGTTGTTGCGCTCGAATAGGTTGCGACCATCCCTCTTTAGTGCACGTCTTCCAGAACTTAGCCCAGGTTGCTCGGCAAATAAGGTAATGTATACGTTTGCATCGGTTCCTCCGCTCAGCCTACTGCCAGTGTACACCGAGACTTTGTACCGAACGATTGGTTTCGCTACATGGTGGAAGACAAAGTATTTGAAACAGAATTTCTTTAATAAAATGTATACACTTCTGTTCAAAAGGCCCAAGCAGTATCACGCTGTTCCGAACCTACTGTAAAACAGTTGTAGCTAAAAATCTCTTAGCAACCATGGGAATGAAAGCCAATATCATCTCAATCAGTCACGACGTGAGAGTTATAAAGTGTGCAGAGAGAAAGTCAAGCGGATACAGTTACACCGAACATTCGTAAGCAATTTCGTGTTTTTCGGTTTGGCAATCGGTTATCCAGCACTCCAGGAGTACCACTGAATAAATCACGCAACATAACATTCTTGTTAGTAGAGAAAGACTTTACATTGTTGGTGATGATGAAAGCTTCCGTTTTCTGATGAACCTATCATAAATGCTGGAAGGCATTTTTGGTGGGTGGAATGTGAAACACACGAGTTATATAAAAGTACTAGAAAGAACTAGTAAGTGCTCCTAAAACTGTATGAGCAACGTCTATACGACATGGAATAAACTATCTGTCGCTAATGGTATACAACATATCGAGTAGGCTGATCGCGAAAGAAGCTTGCAACACCTCATAAAGCTCACATTATTTGTTGTGGGTACTGAATTGATGTCACCTAATCTCGGCTGGTTCTTTCAATCACAACAACTAGGAAGATGACCTTTATTCAAAATCGCATTTTTGCTTTCCAAAGTTTTTGTTTTCATCACTAAAAGATTTACTGAAATGCCACCTGATTCAAGACTGCTAGAGGAGTCTGGATGTGGTCAGCTATGTGAGGTTGCAGCACCGGAAAACTGCAATTGCATTATTCTGACAGAATATCAGGGGTGCTATTGAAGAAAAGTTAGTAGGGTATCTCCTCTGATGGCAACACCAACGGATGCCCTGAATTCGCACAGTGCATAAGCCCGCAAGATCACTGGAGACACGCGCAAGAGCATAGCCCAGAATATTTGGCGTGAATTAATTCGTCCAATCCAATGTCCATGATAACTGATGCGCAGAAAGACTCAAGGCTGACATGCAATTTCAATGACGAGTGGTGTGCAGCGGATACAATGGAGATAGAAGTGATATCATTTTCGACCCCACTGTTGAAAATTATGTATGACAATGAAGCAGCAATACAAATGTTGCTAGTGAAATGATGTTGATGACAAAGACGATGATGGCTGTGACAACGGTGACGATGATAGTAACGATAATAATGAACAAAATATGGTCCATGTTCAGACAGTCCCAAATTCCACTGATATTAGAGTGTAGAAGATTTTATGCAAAGGTATGTAAGTGAATATAAGGTATGTAGGGAGTGCAGCGCTTGTAGAAAAAAACTAAGAAATTCACGCGTACATCATGATGATGAAGCCCAATACGGACGAAACTGCAGTACGATGCTCTCCAGTTTTCCAACACATAATGACTTTGTTTACTGAAACCAGATTCAGATAGATCCAATTCCTCCCCTGTATGCAGATATTTGAGAAACAGAAAATTAATGGTAAAACTGTTGCTAATTACCATCAATATTGGCCGGTCGGATTATACTCGATCATTAAACTACCAGCTCAGGCTGATCACTACTAAAACACGAACCCATGCAGTGCTATGAAAACAGTGCAATAAAGAAGATAGCTTGCATTTCATGAAGGGAGCAGCCTTGTCACCCAGAGTAAAACGTATTTTTGCGCACATATTACCCCACACTCAAACAACATGTCAGGTGGGGTAGAGCCAGCATTGTAAATTATTTAGATGCAAACAACGTCACCAATTTGCTCCAAGGGTACACTATGGAGCAAGGCTGCTGCATGTAACTACTATTAACGGATATCATTCACTCTTCTGGACGCTTATGCATGCATAAAGATGCATCATGGTATATGCAGGACAACTTCGTTTGACGAGAAACAGCGCTTCATCTACGTGTTCCATCCGAAAGTCGCTGAACAGATTCGTGGTGGACATGATTTTAACCTCACGCCAACACCCGAAAAGTGAAGTCTTCTTCAGGGCGTCTTACAGGCGCAAGCCTAATAGAAAAGTACACCGCTGAAAACTTCATGTCCATTCCTAGAAACCATGAGACATAAACTGGATTTCAGTGTCCCACATTATCCTCTAACGAGACTATGGGCCAAGCTAGGAGACCAGTTGCGTAGAAATCAATAGAGAACCGGATAAGCTTCAGAAGTTGGCAAAACCAAAAGCAGAACTCACAATAGACTAAGTAAACAAAACGATCCGTATTTACTGTGTATGGTTGTCGAAAATTTTGACCTATTCACAGAGTTTGAACAAAAGAACCTCTGAATTAGTTTTAAAAGCAGTTGGTTTCACAGAGGCTTCCGATAGCTTCCGATTTAACGGAGTAAATATTCAGTGCATTTTCCTTCATATCAGGTGGTGTCTTCTTCAGTAATACTTATCACGTTAAGGTGTTGCGTCCCCTTTAAGATATAACCTTTCCAAGAAGGGTGTGATTCTGCGTGTTCACGCTGTTTGAAGGAGCACTGTACATTATCTCAAAGTACGTATTGTTGTTGGGAAATCAATGACCAACCTTTCAGTGATTGGAGGGCCATTAGCGAAGGATCTTCGACTACTTCGGTGACATCTAAAATCACCTTGGACCAAGTAGAATGGCGTTTTGTGGCCTCTATCCATTTGTTCACTTGAAAAATGTATGTTCGTCGGCTGACTGGGTCACGCACCTTGACCCATTCGCAGAACCAATGAGAGTCGTGGTTTCGCATATCTGTCGGTGCGGACACTGAGAGGATTGTTTGCTCTTGGTGTTGAACTAGACCAAGATTGAGTTTTTCAAGGATACCCACTGGTGGACTGAATAAGCTGAAAAACAATAATACGTGTTCAATAGTGCTTGTATTTACTTAAACAGGTCAATTATTACAATTGCCTCTCCAAATACAGTCAGGATCATCGCACACTGTCCGCACATTACCATCAATCTTATTGTCGTTGTTTGCGCCTGTTTCTCTACGCACGACTTTTCAAGTCTTTATTCGGTCTTACGACCCTAGTGGGCGCAAGAATGGGATTCATCTGGATGTTTAGGTATCACACAGATCCATTGTGCCAGTCAGACCATTCAAGACTTATGAGTTGTAGACAAACTGACCTCAAAAATCAACCTTATGAACGCCGAGTTATAATGCGCAAAAACAGATGATTTTTCTCATGAGCTTGAGCGGTACCAGTACCCTGAAAATATGAGAAAAATAGCTGAATGTACAATATAACCACGTTTAAACTAGTATAAATCCCGTGAAACGTGCTACCTTTATCAGGTACAGTCAGATGATGAAGACGTTTTTTTCAATGCATGCTCACACCCTCGTGGTTTTTTCAGACTGATGCACTTGATTTCTCAGTTCTATATAACCACAACTAGTATAAATCCCGTGAAACGTGCTACCTTTATCAGGTACAGTCAGATGATGAAGACGTTTTTTTCAGTGTATGCTCTGCTCATCGTGGTTTTTTCAGACTGATGCACTTGATTTCTCAGTTCTGTTTCTGGCATTTATTTATTCACCCTCGGATGGGTGGTTTCCAAGCGCTTGGCGGCACTACCTGTTCATGTTCTTTGATGTTACTTCTGAATAGAATGTATCACAAGCTGGCTGTAAACCTACTAGACTTTTCCGTCCCATTCAAACTAACCAGGGATGTAACCTTCAGGTGTATGGTATGCTGTGGGGACAATTGTGTGTTTTCATGTTTATCCTGCAGTCGTGTTACCGCTTCAGAGCATTTTNCCGATAGCTTCCGATTTAACGGAGTAAATCTTCAGCGCGTTTTCCTTCATATCAGGTGGTGTCATCTTCAGTAATACTTATCACGTTAAGGTGTTGCGTCCCCTTTAAGATATAACCTTTCCAAGAAGGGTGTGATTCTGCGTGTTCACGCTGTTTGAAGGAGCACTGTACATTATCTCAAAGTACGTATTGTTGTTGGGAAATCAATGACCAACCTTTCAGTGATTGGAGGGCCATTAGCGAAGGATCTTCGACTACTTCGGTGACATCTAAAATCACCTTGGACCAAGTAGAATGGCGTTTTGTGGCCTCTATCCATTTGTTCACTTGAAAAATGTATGTTCGTCGGCTGACTGGGTCACGCACCTTGACCCATTCGCAGAACCAATGAGAGTCGTGGTTTCGCATATCTGTCGGTGCGGACACTGAGAGGATTGTTTGATCTTGGTCTTGAACTAGACCAAGATTGAGTTTTTCAAGGGTACCCACTGGTGGACTGAATAAGCTGAAAAACAATAATACGTGTTCAATAGTGCTTGTATTTACTTAAACAGGTCAATTATTACAATCGTCTCTCCAAATACAGTCAGGATCATCGCACACTGTCCGCACATTACCATCAATCCTATTGTCGTTTTTTGCGCCTGTTTCTCTATGCACGACTGTTCAAGTCTGTATTCGGTTTTACGACCCTAGTGGGCGCAAGAATGGGATTCATCTGGATGTTTAGGTATCACACAGATCCATTGTGCCAGTCAGACTATTCAAGACTTACGAGTTGTAGACAAACTGACCTCAAAAATCAACCTTATGAACGCCGAGTTATAATGCGCAAAAACAGATGATTTTTCTCATGAGCTTGAGCGGTACCGGCACCCTGAAAATATGAGAAAAATAGCTGAATGTACAATATAACCACGTTTAAACTAGTATAAATCCCGTGAAACGTGCTACCTTTATCAGGTACAGTCAGATGATGAAGACGTTTTTTCAATGTATGCTCACCCCCTCGTGGTTTTTTCAGACTGATGAACTTGATTTCTCAGTTCGCTGTTTCTGGCATTTATTTATTCACCCTCGGATGGGTGGTTTCCAAGCGCTTGGCGGCACTACCTGTTCATGTTCTTTGATGTTACTTCTGAATAGAATGTATCACAAGCTGGCTGTAAACCTACTAGACTTTTCCGTCCCATTCAAACTAACCAGGGATGTAACCTTCAGGTGTATGGTATGCTGTGGGGACAATTGTGTGTTTTCATGTTTATCCTGCAGTCGTGTTACCGCTTCAGAGCATTTTGCATACAGGCTGTCGTGGCTATTTTGAAGCCAGACGTTTGACTAATGCGGGCATCGCATGTAGTGTCACAATTTCTAGTTTTGCTAATTTTTTCTGGAAACGTTTGACATTTCTTACCTCCCAGCTATGGCACCGAAATGAACAGTGGAATTCCGGTAAAACTAAGGAAGATGATGTGCTAAGTACACAGCTGACCATACTGCTATCAGCTTTTGAAAAATAATTCAGCTTCCTGAATGCTGCGAATCCTTCTTATGCGAATTAGTTCATCTGGACTCACTCAAACTTATTCGTTTGTCCACTTTGAAGGACCGGGCTGTCCTCGGAATTGTTTATCTCCAAGGTTTTGGTCGTGCCACGAGATCCAGAAACCGCGAGCCAAGCATTGTTCGAGGTTTCCGCGTTTTTCCTCATTCCAGTGTGCACTTCGACCGTGTAGACTGTTATCGTACGGAAGATAATGAGAATACAGGATTATTAGTAATACCGAATAACATTTTAAGGAGTACATGGAAAATATCAAGAACAACTCCACTTTCTGAAAAGTTGGAGTTGAAGAGGGATAAAAGGACTATAGGATAAATAAAGATAGCAGGTTACGCATGTGGAATAGTCCTTACTGCAATGATATCAAACCCCCAACAACCGCAGTTTTGAAACAAGCAAACGGTATACAAACTTTCCTGGTATTTCACATCCGCTATCTTAGATGAATTCCGTCACATATATCTCTAGTGATCAAGTTGGAATCCAAAGAAGACAATCCCATTGGAAGCTAAAAGTGAATTTCTAAACGGGGCCACTCCGAAATGCTACCAATTCCCGTGCAACGCACTGGTGCGCATTCCCAATAAGCGAAGTTAACCATCGGGTTAGGCTACGCCAGGCGCTTGATGGCGTCTTCTCTCAAACAGCTTTAGTATAAAAATACTAACAATAACTTCGGGATAGGTATAGAGCGTAAACTGGAACGCAACGGCTCAGGTAAATCCCGGCCTCACCTATTTCCCTATCGTCTGTTCTAGCTAACAACGGATAAATAATGACTTCTCAGCTTCCCAAGCCAAAGGGGGCCGCGGATTAAACTTATCGTGTAAACAGTAAACAAGATGGTGTAGTCACTTCAGGACAAACATCTTAAATGTGCTGTCCAAGTGTGCGTTTTAGCAGAGTGAATGAAGCCAATCTAGGTTGGAAAGCCAAAAAAGCACCGTAAAGCTGCTCCATCCTTGCCGAAAATCATCAGCAGTGCGTATCTCACATGACTCTAAGGAGTCGCAGACCTGCGACCAACTGCGAGCTAACCACACTGCTGAGAAGCCGTTTTCAGCCGGCCGGCTGAATGTTTGAAACCACTAGTCGGGTTCGAAGCTTTGAGGTTTGTGAGATTTCCAATACCGGGGATTCTAAACAAAGATGAAATAGGCATACGGTGCTTCCTTACTCTGCCGCACTGATTGGCTACATTTACCAAATGAAATCTCCACTGAACTGAGCAAATCCCCTCAAATTATTGACAGCTACGTGTATGCTCATCAGTTGTTACCTTGTCCTAGTAGCAGTTAAATGAACATGCATTGACGCTCTCAACTCTGACGCATACCACACTGCCCTTTAGTTTGAGGTCTAAAGCCATATTCCACTTAGTATGTATGGGTCTGATATTTGAAAACGCTTCAAGTTTCTTGATTCATCCAAAACATTTGTACGCAATATAGCTAAGGGACGTAAGAGCATGTAGGTGGGCGGGGACAGAAGTGATTACGATATAATATATCGTCCACATTTCGCGTGTTTGTAATAAACAACCCTGCCCAGCACTGTTAACGTAGCTGCAGAATTTGTTACGGACTTGTTATTCAACCGTCTCCGAGAAATCCGCTAAAACTCCTTACGTTTCCACCGTTCTTAGAGTCTTTCTTTGATAAGTTTAAAGGCTTATCTGGCAGTTGTCAATAAACGTGAAATAGCCTACTCGTGATTTCGCAAAAGCTTATAAATCAAGACAGCATGTGAGCGATACGTGCTACACAATTTAACCCTTTGGTCAGCAGGAAGATTCGGTGAAATATCACCGACCAAATCCTTCACCTTTTCTCTTCTAACTGCTCTCTATTTTACATATATGAATCCAATAATCTGTCACTGACAGGCCACGGCGTTTGTCTGTTGCTCAACGGAGATTCACAAGACGTTTCACGATGACCAGTAATCCTGAGCTGGTTTATCAACATCAAAGTAAGCTAATGGAAGCTTCTACACATGCGGTGAGGTAAAAAGATCCCCACTAGCAGAAAGGCAATTTTGTAATCTACATACGTAGCTAGTGATTCATAGACAGAAAACACTGTGCACGGCAAAAGGAAGACGGAATGTTTGTCGTTGCTTCGTTTTGTCAGACCTGTGATATCCACATACTCGCGAACGACCCTCATAATTTGGAGGTTACATGTACTGGCCGACAGTGCTCCGGAGTTATACATATATTTATTTTTTGTTTGGTTGCGTCAGTAGTAGCAAGGACTTTATAGCAGGGAATCTACCAACTTGTCACAATGACTGCGCTGGCAGAGGAATAACTTTGCGTTATATCCCATACAGCTACCCAATGAAGAACTTTGCGTAGGAGTGTATCAGAAATATAAATGATGCTACATGACGGTTATAAGCGCCCTAACTTACCAACATCTCCGGGCTCTACTTCAGGTCTCTCGGTCATTAGTACAACATCGGTGGTAGCTAGGGAAGTCTGCAGTACTTCGAGGTCGTTAACATGCCCACGGACAGGATCGTCCACAAATTCTTCACTGCATGAAAGATCCCAAGCGGTTTGTCGATCTTCCTCCTTTGGAGATAGCCATCTGTTGCATTCGAAATGCCAATGTCTGGCCAATCGCGGATATTGGTCGGGCAATAGCTCAGTTACTTCGATCCATGCGCAATGCCACGAATGTTGTCGGCCTTTTTGTTTTAGCCAGACACGACATCGGGCAATGCTGCCCAACTCCGGTATGCCACGCAGGAAGAATTCATCCAACTGAAATATGATATGGATTTGTGAGCTTGATTTGTGAGCTTGTGAGCATTTTTGCTTCGCTTTCATAAACAATTAGATTGCGCCGAAAAAATCAGCAAAGTGTGGATTCGTGACGAAATCGAATTAGATGATAGGTATGAATCAGCTGTCAAGATTTCAGGTGACCGGTACAAGTCAGAAAATTCAAACGAAGCGAGAGGTGTCAAAACATGCCTTAGGTGGAAGTCTAGTTCTGGAAAACCAAACTGCATATGAACTTTAGTGTTTTATCTCAACGAGGCCTCACTTCGGGGATTATATCTCTGGAGAAATCAACCGACAACATATAGGCTGACTAATTTACAGCGGGCCTAAACACCATATATAATCTTTATCAGCGCCCACTAAGTGAACACGAAATAGATTAGTTCACGGGCATCTACGGTCTAATAAACTCGAAAAAGGCGGTCATATATTTTTCGTCATTATATTCACGCGTTTTGGAGAAGAAGTGCCCAGTGAACCATTTAGGTACCTTATTTTCAGTTCATTTTTTAATCTTACTTATTTCAAAGTCCTCCCCTTGATCTATAATGCGTTGTTGAACATCTGTGAATACTCTTCAGTTATTATTAGTCAAGGTAAAAGATTAATTATCTCACAAAGTTTGGTGAATTTTCGATTCGCACATCGAAAGCAGTTTCGGCAATAAGCATGGAAAAAACTTGGGAAATAGTGAATGCATGGTGGGAAGATTCAGTACAAGGAGAATGAATGAAGAATGAAGAAAGAAGGAAGATCCAAAGACAGAGTCACCATGAACATTTAATTTCGAGGTTCTGATTGAAAGAGAGGTCATACTGGTTGCACTAAAATCGTTTCAAATATGCTGGGTACACATAAACCAAGAAGTTACCAAATCAAAACAGTGACGTGAGGTAAATCGTCAGTGATGATTTGATAATCGAAAGCTGAAGTTTCTTGAGGTAAAAGTAAGAAAGGAGTGTGTCATATCAATGGTACTCATGCTTTCTCTATACGGTGGACAAATCCATAATTTGTTCATGTGGGCATATTTAACTCACCGCATTGTTCTTGAATGGTGTTGGGTTATTCTGACACTCAGTGAGTCTCCAGGGTCCGGAATCCCCGTGTTCACCGAAGAGTTGGATGAATATACCACAGTCTGTTCCAGCGCCAGAAATGTTCGAAGTTTTTACAAGTATTTTGAGATCCGCATCTGGGTTGTATATGGAGAGGGAGAAGGGATCGACGTGGGTGAGACTATAACAAAAGTCTTGCAGTTTACAATCGGTGAAAATGTGGTTCTATTTCAGTAATAAAGTGTATGAATGAAGATTTCCTGATAGCGTTTTGGATGATAGGAATTTTTCTGTGTAGGCGTTAAGCTGGTGGTATTTTCATGCAGATTATTTTTCGTTAGTAGCCCACCGGACGTCGCCACACCATATTTTCTTGACTACTCATGAGTAGCAACACAGCGTGGTATTTTACCTACCAAACGCAAGACCACAGCTGTCCAAGCATAAACCATAATATGTCTTGAAATAGGTTACGAGAGGCCCCGATGGAAATCCAGGATGCCCTCATCGGACAATCAGGAATTTCTACACGCAACATCAGATTTTCATCCAGTTCGTATGGCAGCAAACGACGAGTATATGCTAATCGCATATTGAGCAGCAAATTTTGACACATGCATGGCTTGAGGTTACGCATCCCAGTCTGACGCTTCCTGGGGAGTTTTCTGTACTTCCTGCAGTGCGAAGTGAGCACTATCAAGGAATTTAATATAAAGAAGAATTTTTAATCAATTTTCCACTGACCAATTTGTCTGAACACCCACGATGGTCTCACTGAGAAAAGAATCACGAACGCATAGGCTAAATACTGAAAAGCGGATAGCTTTCCAATAGCCATTCAGCGATCTCATCAGACACCAGTCTTTCCACTCAACATTTGGGATCCTAGAATCCAGCTAGATACACTTGTAGCACAGGCATAAGAAGATAAGTAGAAAGGACTGGCAATAAAAATTTCTGGTAGGCGAGCGTTGCGTAAAATCGTTGCTCCTGTGACAAACTTACTGTCCAGTTGCTTCTTGCCGTTCACAGAGGCCACCATATCAGTCCAATTTAGCTTCCGATTACCATGTTTTGTACTTAACCACTGACCACCGTCAGTTTCGAAGAAATAAGTTACGTCACCTTTGTTGATTTCCACACGGTCCAGCTTCCAGTGTCGTCTTTCGCCCTGTGGACGAGAAACAATGTGGGGTTTGTAACTCGACTTGCGTAGAACAGAAAGAGGAGAGGCTGCATGATTTGTGGCCAGTTGTATTGCACGCAGTTTCGAAGTGAAGGAGTGGACAAGTTTGACTCACCCCAGTGAGCAGACAGTAGTCAGCCAAGAAGGGATAAGGATAATCGACATGACTCCTGAAAACTCACATGCAACAAGGGTGATCAATCCTCTTACTCACCTAAATTCCAGTGAAAGTTTTGCAGTTAAACCTCACGAAAGTAGACAAGGCAAAAGAACTATCTTTATGAAGAGTCTAGTTCAGTGTTTTCTATAGAGGAAAATGTTGGTAGCTCAGGTAGCGCAGATGGTGGTCGTTGGCTTGTTTGCTGAGCTGGGCAATTTGATTGCAAATGTTTCATCACCAATCGAGGTGACATCATCAGTGCGTTATTGTGCAGCTACGCACTACTACGCTCCACAATAACGCACTGATGATGTCACCTCGATTGGTGATGAAACGTTTGCAATCAAATTGCCCAGCTCAGCGAACAAGCCAACGACCCCCATCTAGTTCAATGTTTTGATGTGAGGTGTGAAAAAGTAGAGTTCAGAGAATGCGTCGTGCAAGTGGAACAGCGCAAATGACCGGGGTCAACTCGTTCAACCTCTCGTACCTGATGAACGTGTTTTTTGTGTATGAGTCCAGGAAGTCCGTTTTATTTTGTATGAATGAAACCAGAAACATGGAAACTTCTAGTTTCATAAGAGAAAAGATTGTCCAACACCAGAATGAATTTGTTTCACTTCTCTGCGGGGAATAAAAGAGACCACCCAGAACCGCCCCATCACCATCACCACCGCCAAAAGCGACTGAGTCAACGATGAAACTGCAAATATCACTGTAGTGCAACGATAAGTTTCATATAATACTTACATTGAAATATTTGAACCTTTCAGAAGTATCTGCCTGAAAACCTATTTTTTACAGAAATAAGAATGACAATGTGTCTGGGTGAGATTTTAAAATCCACGGTTTACCATAAGACTACTCGGAGCAAATGGTAGCTACGCATCGGTGGACTGTCCCTAGTGTTTCAATGAAGATACAATTTTTTAGAATCAGCAGTATAACTACAAGTGAACAAATCTCAGAAACCATTTAGCATGCCCATCATCTGCCTATCGGTGAAAGCGTTCTATTCTAGCCCAGGTTTCTGAGCTCGTTTGGCTATTCTGCGATTATCGATCAGATCATTTGCAGCGAAGCAGTCGTTACTAGAATGGATCATTCAAATCCTCAGAGAATCTCCAGATATTTTCGCAGTTTCGGTACACCCCTTTGTTTAGGAGGTCGCCAAATGCAAGTCACATAACCGAAGACGTTCTTATTTCAACTCTACTGAGACCTCTAATGCTAGGTTTAGAAAACAAAGCCCGAACCTCTATTTATACACTCATTCGCAAGCCAATTTGAAACCATACCAACCTGGAACCCGGTTGAATCGTTCCTTTATAATGTTCTTACTCAAATGAACTAGCTGCACCAGGCTGTCTCACGTTTTATTTGTCATGATATTCGGCATACCTCAATACACTGTATAGGCGCAATACACTACTTATAGCCTAAACCTCTTGGTCTGTTATGAAATGCCCATGACCGAAAGGTGGCAACCAAAATTGGTCCCGTGCTTGGAACTAGCGTGTAGCTCAACCTGGCGGATCTATGCTGTCCCTTGTGACTGTGTGATTCAACGTTGTGTATCGTTCGTTTGCGCTTATGAATTTGATACAATGCGTTAGCGTGTGACGGGAGTAAACGAAATATGGAAATCTCGCGATATGTGCTTTTGTTCGCTTCTACAGTTGTCGGAAGCACGTGCTCAGACGCCTTCACCGTCTACGGCGACGCCGGTGACAAAAGGAGGTGCCACCCATGGCTGGAGCAAGCGCGGTGACCATGTCAGCTGGGTATGGATATGTTCAACCAGGCTTGATGAATTTGGAACCTCAGCTAACATTAAGAGGAACAGAGGGGCAGAGGTATCGGACTGGCCTTATCTGAGGTGACTTTTCAGATGCAAATATTCACACTCAGTGGGGCATGCGCTTTTCTCGGAATACACAATCCTTCAGCCAATTAGGCATGCGATTGTATTGTTTCGAGTCGCATAGTGAGATGTTTTCCGATTGAATGCCAGCAGTTCAGTAGTGAGATGGGAGTTCAAAGTGAGATGGAATTCCGACAAGACTCATTCTGTTCTGTGTAATCTCTCCACATGAAGACTCTGGCTGAATGCGCTCACGGTTTGTCGTGGGTCTACTAAAAACTATAACGAATCGAAATGCAATTGTTCCTGTCGGCTGATTCCACGCTACTGTAAGCGATTTGTCAGGGATGTTGTTCTGGAGACGGTTGTCATAGATAACCAAAAACACGAGAGTTTGAAAAGCGAGTTAGCTAATAAGAATTGATTTGACGCATAAGTTTCCCGAAAACTATTCAACAGTTTTGGGCTCGCCATTTAGGTGGAACTCCCGATTTTCCATCACCATGTGTTTTACTTGAATCCCACAATGCAGGCAGTTGGTAAAATGGACTTATTTAAAAATCAAATTGTTAGTAACAGGAGGTTTTTGGCTTTCTTATATCAGCCCAATTGGAATGATTGCGTCATTAGTTTCACCTTAACCATGTCGGAAACTGCTAGAAACTATTGTTCTACTTCCGAGAAACAAACTGTAAGGTGGACTAAATGTGAATACGGATTCAGCATTAGAAGAATAGAAGTAACATGCCGGACGGGGACTCAACTCAAAGTGGACACAGAGCGATTGTTTTGGAAATTCTAAATGATGACCGAAGCTCTGAAGAGGCCATTCTTTGCTACTTAATCATGGCTTTGCCCAGAATTTACCTTTGGAATACGAACAGGTTGGCAATCCTAGAACCTCAGGATAAGGAATGACTCCTACTTATTCCTATCCACTCACTTTTGACTGATTCAGCACAGATGAGTACAAGATCCCGACTAGCTGAATCGGCTCTGAAATCATCTCAAAGTCTGTATCGATGCAATATACAGTTTTGATAAGCTCTTTCAAACTACTGGATATAGTCGGAGCCCAAATCTGGTCTACTGAACCTAAGTTTTAGGAAGCGTTTAGAAACAGGATGGTATAGGAAGATTAGCTGATAGAGCTAGCCCTCGTCTACATGGGCCACTCACACTATTTCTTTAGAGCTTATTAAAACACTACCGATGTCACTAAGCTTACAAAAAAGAAGGATACCAATAGGCCATTTTCAAAAGCTGTTTGGTCAGGAGTGCTGAAAGTTATTTGAAACACCGAATGCAGGCCCAATCATGCTAGCAAAGTTGAGACACTAAGCTAGACGGTGACTCCTTGGAATGGTCCATTCGGATTCTCTGGTAACAATAACCCATTGGTGATGGAATATGGTATATATGTCGGCGCGCTAAACTACCTGCTGTTGGTGATGACATGTGACCAAAACGTCATATTGAATGAACTAAGAGTTCGGCGGATCTAGGTATAACTGAAAAATAGCTTGGTTTCAACGTACACGGTGCTTTTGACAATGAATAACGCGGTTCTTCTATGATCTCTGACAACTTACGACTGTACATAACGGAGGATCGTATGGCTCAGATTTGAGGACTGCGACAAGTGCCACAAGTTCAACGATGGCTTTGGAGCCTTCGTCGAATTCACGTCCATGAAAATGTCGGTACCAGCGTGATTGCTAAAGCAGTCTGTGCTGATTGCTCGCCGGTATACTGCGAAGATTGGCCTAAATCAACGAAGCTAACATAGGCGCGCTACGCACGATAAAACAGATAAGCGTGGCCAAGAGAAGACTCAGGCTCCCGTCAATTTGCTACCGTCTTGCGCCTCCTTGAAAAGCGATGGAGTGCCTGTTACGCAAATGGCACTGCTCGCGAGATTCGGCCTGATATCAGAATCAAAACGAGGTTACCCGTGCTTAGCAAATGAGCAAACTAAAACGAACCGCTATCTAGAAGCTTCACTCAGACAAGTGGGCAAAGGGCTCCACATTCGGCCGACTCCGATGCCTGCTGGCCGCTGAAAACGTAGATTGCAGCTGGTTATTCGGGATCAGAGCCTTCTAATCCGGGTCCAAGGTACGTTTGTGCACACTGAGGAAAACTGATGCCTGCTTGCGGCTATAGCCTGCAAAATAGCGCTACTGTTCCTTGCTTGTGCGAGTTGCTAACTTTACCTGATTCAAATCGATGGCTTTGTGCTTTAGAGCACGTGTTTCCTATGTAATTTACCCCCGATATCCAGCTTAGGTGCAACCTGCAAAAGTTCGAAACGTCCGTTTTGTCAAGGTGGTCACTGCTGTAGAAACCGAGGTCAGATGAGGAGTTTAGTGCATATTCTGCAGCTCTGTTGGTTCACAGATGATGGTGCGGGCAACTGAACTTGTAATAAGTCTCTGTCCTTTGGAATACGTCGTCTTCGAAGAATTATCAACACTCGCCCTAAGGTCTTCCACAAAGCCTGACCTTATAGCTGTTCGGGTTCACTGAGCGACCGCGATAGAATTGAGAAGTATTGGGTGTGTGTGAACTGCTTGCGCATATACCCGTCGCCCGTACAACTGTATTGTATTATGTATTTCCTTTTATGATAATTTAGCAGATCTGTCGGTTTGCTGGAGCCTGAGACTCACATAGGCTTTTGCAAAAAGCCAGTCCCACAATAAGTTGTGTGCATGTGCGAATGCCTTGGGATCCAACACACTCGTCACCCTTGATATCCGAATCTCATCATGAGTGGAACAGTGAAGGACACTGGCAGGCAATCGACACCATCGCAATTGTCAGCCGAACGTAAGACAACAGTGCTTATCCAAGAATCGTGCTTCATCAGATGGGCTGCAAAGCGGTGGTACCCTGGTTTGGTGGCTTAAGTAGGGCAAAGCCAAGGACTGCACGGTACAAAGATGGAGTTTCTTTACATAAAAGCCATACATTCGATTAAGATGAGACCTTTACCAAGTGCGCAAACTATATTTTGTCCTTTGTATCCTTAAAAGGAACAGCATGTCCTTAGGAACAGGTTAGGAGTTATAGTGTTTAGGACATCCAAGTTGCCTAATCGGCTTCAACCATTTGATGGTTTCACATCCCCGGTTGTTCTCTCTTTCTCATACAAACCTCTGTTATATTCGTAGTATTGATGTTTTCACACCCGCCCAATAATCAGTTGCATTGTAATTGACTGCTACTCAAGGAACCTTTTGAACATTTTACGTGTATGTTTTATTTTGAGTTTATACGAATCAGACATGGCCCAGTTGTGCCATCAATGGCGCTCATGCATCCAAACTATTGCCTTCACTGCAAAGCTCCGTTCTCAAAATCCCCAAGCTTGACACTCCACTGACAGTACCGTATTTACGCACCGTATTTACGCTCCCACCTCCAATATGCACTTATCTACCCCACCTCCCCAAATCATCGGTGAACGAAACTGTGGTGGCTACAACCACTACGGCAAGTACGCTGTTCTTACATCTGGCGTTGTTGATGACGTTGACGAGCTCTAACATTCCAGTCAAAGCTATAGCATTCAATAAATTCCTCGTTTCATTCGCAATAGGCAACTGACATTTCATGCCAGGCTACGGACTGCGTCGAGTTATTCACAAGTTACTTGTTCATGTAATGCCACTAAACAAAACATGATATATACCTGTGGATCCTGTCTTACACGAATTTTCTGCAGATCACCAACGTCCTCAAACTCCATTTGAAAACGGCACACTGAGCCCCTTTCGAACGTGTCTTTCTTCTCGACCAGTCTCTCATTGGACATTCCGCGACTTCCAAAAAGTTGCAGGTACACATCCGAATCTGTTCCCGCCGATTCCACATCACACGTTGCAATCATGAGCTGATAGGTTATGACTGTTACGAGGAAAGTGCACCAAAGTTATTTGATCAAAGTTGTTTAATGTTTATTGTCTTTAACCAAGAAATCTTTTTCTTCAATTTCAAAGTTTACACATTGGTCTCACACAATTATAAATAACTAAGTATTCCTGAAATCAGGGTTTACAAGTTTGCAAGTGTATTAGGTAAAACTGGTTGAAAAGGTTTTGGACGTTCCACAGAGTGCTCAGAAGTTTTTTACGTGATACTAAGCTATATCCAGAAGCACGTTTCGGAAATCGCATTAGGAGAAGTAGTCTTTCTCAACTAGCTCGTGTAATAAAATAGATAATTTATATTGTCGAGTGAAACACAAGGTAATTGACCTTATATATGCTTGTGTAAGAGTGAAAACAGCTAGTCTTCTGGCTTTTGGGAAACTGAATACTGAAGTGGCAACCTGAAAGTATTTACGATGGTGAGCAAATAGCAAGTTGCCAAGAAAGATCTTGGAATATGGAGCCAAGAAAGGTTGGGACGGTCCTATGTTCTGAAATCCTGGACACCCAGTGACAGGGAAAGTCCCTGTAGCTGCCTCTTATGTACGTGACTACGGTATACAGACGAGCAGTTTTGTCGAGCCATCGCACGTACGGTCAATCGAGTAATCAGTGTATTTGAACAGGAGGATAAAATGGGAGATAAAAAGGGGAGGAATCTACAGAAAGCAAAAAGTGAATAAATAAGCCTTTTTTGCTTCTTCATGTGTATCAGGAGGGCTGTAGAGTTCTGATCATACTGGTTCACAAATTGGATTTGATGTATGAAGCCGGCTTGGATAAGCCGAAAAAGATCTACTTCAGTGCGGGTTGTTTAGTACCATCAGATACGATCGGCAAGCAGGTGTGCTGAGTAAGCGAGGACATCAACCACCACGCGGTTAGTGAGAAAAGTGATTCGTTTCAGTTTCGGAGCTCTTTTAAACAAGCGTTCAGTCGCTATTCTAAAAAACCTTGCTACATTTCAAAATTAAGCGCCAGGCTTGATCAGATTTACCAGAGTGCAGTAGTAGATGTGGCAGAAGATGAAACTAACTGTTTTTTTGTCTTCAAGATGATCAAGATGTTTGTTTGTGAAAAGTTTGGCAACATTCCTGGTCACGTAGGGGTAAACAAAGCCAGTACTTCAGTTGGGTGTGTCGGTGAATTAGTGCTTCCATTTGCTCAGGTCAGCTCGAAGCAACTGGTTTTTGAAGGCCCTGTCCGATAGCATTTTGTAAACACTTGACATCTCATCAATTCCTCGATACGCGGTTATTACAGCTGACAGTGATGATGATGATGGTGAATATGTAGATGTTGGCTTTTAGTCATCAGCTTCTTTCTTCTTCTTCGAAGTTGCCTGAGAGGACTTGATGGAAACACACCTGGTTGCCACAGGATATAAATTACCACACAAAAATCCATCAAGTGGATGAATTGACAGTCATGCGTACACACGACAAATTCTCGCTCAGTAACGGCAACCATATAATCCATTCGAGTCTCAAGTCTTGTCGGTAAGCATAAAACGTTAACGAACCGCAAGGGCGTGAGAAGGAGGGAATCTAACCGATTTAAATTTTTGGCAGGGGTGTATAGGGGCGGGACTGAGGAATGGATTGTGGCCACGGAAGGGAAATGGGAAAACGTCAAGTAGTCAGACAGAGTGCTGCGGAAAATCAGACATCTCTAAGGCATAGAGATTTGTGCATGGAGCAAAAACACCAGAGAACTACCATCTCTAATAAGGAATGATAAGCTCAGAAAAAGGTAGTAAACCTCAAGTTCCATGCCTTAGGTGTCGACTTCAGGTTACGTCCAGCCTCCCTGAAGCGGTGTAGCGTCAGTGTGATGGCACTTTCTGCAACCAAGGAAGTTATTAGGACCGCCCATCATGCCAAGCAGAAATCATTCAGAGTAGTTTTTCTATTTGTTGAAAGTTTTGAGACTGAGACCTTACCACCATAATTGTTTCTTTGACATCAAGTGCTTCAGCGTTGTTAACTCGCAGTTTGTCATTTTATTATCAGTTCTCTATCCAAAGGGATACAGAAGAATAAAAACTACAGGGAATCATGATTATAGGCGTGAGACGTGGCTTGGGAGATAGTTTGTTAAGTGTTCTTGTTCGATATAATCGGACACGATTCTGTTGGATGAGGTTCAACAGCTAGAACTACTGGTGATTTGAAGGTTAAGGAGAATTTGAGTGTTTGCAGAGAAGCGCTAGGTTCCGAGCTCAGTAGCTTTATTTATTAGGCAGCTATTCCTCCATTTATTCGTGATTACTAGGGGATATCCTACTGTCTGGGAAACGACGTAAAAATAGTGATAACGGTCCAATAATGTATAAAATTGGTGACTCTAACTACAAACATATGTAATTTCAAAAATATAAACACATGGAGGTGAGATTAATGTTTGGGCGAAATCACGAATTGCTTATTTAACCAAGGGTCAGTTTTAAGCATGTGAATCTGAGCACCATTTACGTTCGAAATTACAGATCTTACGTTCCACAGGTGAATATCTTTTGTAGGATTCTACTTGTTGAAACCGACCAATAAAGTACACAATGTTAGTTGAGCTTGTAAAATTGATCCAGGCGGGTAGAGTTCCTGCTACAATGAGCATATTACAGATGTTGCCGCTATGGTTTCGATCAGAGCGTAGATAACTGAGTCTGCAAAAAGGTTGGTAGTTTATTCCCTCACACAGCCCAAGAACTGTGCATTGGAAAAGATAGTGAGACGTCAGAATCCATCTAAAACAAAATAACCGTCTGACCTAGGTTTGCTTACGTGGTACTCCGACAATAATTTGATCACGGAAAATGGAAAATCCTTTAACGGGTTTCTTATCGCCCCGAGTTCGTGAAATCCATGTGTTGCAATTGAATTGATAACATTTACCAATATGAGTAAGGAGAACCTGAGCGTGTTTCAGAAACCAACCCGTTTCCGTGCCGTGAACTGATTCGTTTCCAACCTGAACGGCGTAGAAAAAAAGCAAATGAATCTCAGAAAGAAGGGGCGTTTGGTGCAATCAGAAATTTCACCGAAAGCGCTTACAAACGACAGAACATCAGAATTTTATTAGTAAAGCGAAGTTCCTCTTATTTCGGCTAACAATGCTGGCAGGACCTCGGGATGAATCTCACTGACCACAAATTTCTAGTCTTCATGTGAATTCTCCCATGGTATTAAATTTTTGTTGGAAATCCTGCTCTCAATACTTGGTTATCTAGGTAAACTGTGTAACCTCTAGGACATCCACTCAACCCTCCACTGACGATGTCACCTCGATTGGTGATAAAACGTTTGCAATCCAACTGCCAAGCTCGGCGAACAGACCAACAATCAAGCAGCGCACCCAAGCTACGTACATTCCACAACACTGCTAAGCTCTAGGATACTTTGTGCATCAAATGTTTGCAAGCTCGGCGACCAACAATCAAGCAGCGCACCCAAGCTACATACATTCCACAACACTGCTAAGCTCTAGGATACTTTGTGCATCAAATGTTTGGCAACCTAGCCAACCTGAGACGGTTGCTTCCAATGTTAACTAAACCGCTGAGAAAACATACATTCAAGCTACTGTGCAAAGAGGTTATCACAAAAGTGCAGGTCTGCTGTAATCTTCCTGCTAAAATTCTAACTTAAATCGTTCAACACAAAGATGCTGTTTCATCTCGTGATTTATAGGTTGCAAAATTTCTTGTGTAGATGCATCAACATTTGCCTAAAACGTCGACCGTTCACCGATAGTCTGATTGTCTATGTGGTTCAGTAGATAAATTGGGAGAGAATAATGCTTAAAGACAAAGCCCTCAAATTTCCAAATTTAGTTTCGTTCAACCTGAATGGAGCACGTTGGCCTAGACTATAGATTGATGCTATTCCCTGAAAAGACCATGAACGTCTCAGCAAGTAGCTCCAAACAGTTTCTTTGGTATATTGCTGTGTGAGCAAGGGTTGTTCTGGAGGTTACTGATGGTATAAATGTTTTGATAATTGAAAATGCCGCTGGTCCCGCGTAAATATAGGCATTGAGTAGAGACCAACCTTCGTGATGTGGTTTGGAGTTGTCCGCCGAATAAACTCATTTCCAACAGAGGTAACTCAAGTTCAGTGTATTTGGGTCTCTGTTCAAGGGCACCAGTGCACTTGGTGGCCGTCGAGGGCGAGTGGGTATTAGCTTATCAAGAAGTGAAACTCAGGCAACTCAGACACAAAATGTAGGAAGAGGTTAGTTTGAAAGCAGCGCAATCACTTTATTGTCATATTTTAATCAACCATGAAACCCAGCAGCATGTTGTGTCATTAAAACGACAAAAGATGCTCTTTACTTGTGTGGACGGATCGGAATTAAGGCCGTTTCATATTGACGTTCTGCCTGCAACCGACGTGTCGCGACTGAATTGTAATTTGTTGACTGTATTTCGTTCACTAACAGTGTTTACTATTTAACACATGGCATCTATATTTGAGGCACGACACTCTTCACGTTTTCGTCATAGGCACGAGGCCACCCTATCAGCGCAACTTTCCATGGATCAACGTGTACATCAGAAATAATTGAGCAACAAGTGAACTGATATTTACCTCTGATTCTAGGTTTGTTGGATTTCCAATATGTCAGCCCTTAAATACCATTCATAAACAGAGATGCCTAATTGCTATCCGTAAAAGGAGTTTGTATTAGGGAAATAAATCATCTCTAGTTTATCCTGAATAATTATTTGTTCTTGCAATTTCCAGTTCCAAGTGATTTGCTAGTTGAGTAGTTTTTCAGTGGCAATGAGGAATGCTTTTTTGCCTAAAATCGCTAACTTATCCCCATGGACATCACGAGAACCCCAATCACTTGTAGCAAACTGAAGCAAATTGATAGGCCGGGTTGGCAGTCACTCTAAGTTGAGAAACACAGACTGTATATCGTCAGGTGATATCCTGACGTGGATCGCACTACATGCAAACTTAAGATTGATGGGTCAGGTACATTTGTTCATATATTGAGCTATTTTTAGAAAATAAATGAGTCAAGTTGATGTTTATCAGTTGCCATTTGTTTTCCGACTTGACCAATGCAAGGGGTTAACTGTCAAGACGTTATTAAAAATTGTTTTCGAGTGTGCAAGGATAAATAAAAACTTAGTAAACTAACATGTTAAAAGTGAGTCTTGAATGTTTGTGTACCAAGAATTTGTACCGAGTTTTTCCTAAAATCAGTCACCATAGTGAAACATACCAAACTTGTTGCCAAAAGGGTTCGAATTAAATTTGCTATAAGCCTTTTGTTCAGCTTCGTCACGGATGTGGGACACTATATAGAAGCTTACATGCGTCCACAGTCTCAGCCACAGAACCTTGGAGGTGCGTAAAGCACTAAGACATGTAGCGCAGCACCAACATAACTAGGGTTCGAATTTGCTATAAGCCTTTTGTTCAGCTTCGTCACGGAGGGGCTAGATGTGGGACACTATATAGAAGCTTACATGCGTCCACACCACAGTCCGGAAAGTACAGAACCTTGGAGGTGCGTAAAGCAATAAGACATGTAGCGCAGCACCAACATAACTGAGGTAGCCGGGGCACTCTAGGTTCACTTATACGCCCTCAGCAAGTCCTGCAGGTAAAGAACGATATTTTAGCCATATCCGCCTGTCGGATTCTAACAACAACCAAGTAGCAATAAATGGATGGCATTTAAGTGCATTTGGGTGCATTTGGGTGCATTTGTTAGCGTGTTTATTCATAAGCCTTGAGTGGAAAAGTCTTCAAAATACAAATATGAGTACCAGAAATTGGGTTTCGTCATTAATCTTATTACACTACATGGCTCCAAGCTGTTCAAATAGATCTTGTGATACTAATCAATTCTCAATCTGTAGGTAACGCAATGTGTACTACAAAGAAGCACACTCGCCTCGATTTCTGAGAGGGCATCCAATGCTGGTGCATCAAACACAAATTTGTCTGTTGTTCCTTTTCGAAGTGCAGTCCCTCTTGATTCGTTAAAAAGTAGGAATTTTCCAATATCCTCGCCGTGTTTCCCAATGCATTTTATCCACACAGGTCCGGGTGTAGCCGCATGTTTGATAGATCCGGTGACGACACGCACGTGATATGGTACTGCTGTTAAGGGCACATATGCAGAAAAATGTCAGATATATTCGTCATAAGCCAAACATAACCGAGAACAAACAAGATGGTATAATGTCCCATAAGGTATAGGAATAAGCAGTTTACTCTTACATATGCATGGCAAGATGGTTAATTAGGGATATTTGATATATTGTTCATTGCTATGTGCAGCCCACTGGAGGGCTTGCAGCCGTTCCCTGGTCAGTTAGAAAAAACATTCTTATATCAGCTCCAGTGATATGATTGTTTTTAAGTTGGTAAAGCAGTTCATAAGTTCATTTTGATAAGGAACTCTGTTTAAAGTGAACTAAATGGTAAAAATCGTTCCCATGCTCGGTAATATCCTTTAAAGAAGGCAGTTCTGAAGGAGAATTATTTCTTAAACTAAAAGATTGGGGGTTCGATAAGTAAAAGTTAGTTGCGATAGAACAGCTTGTTTTCATTGAATTTTGGTTCTGGTAATTCACTTCGTAGCGACTTACTGGGCGTAACAGAGTGATCCGTCTGCCGTACCTCGTCTGAAGACGACCTTGGAAAGATAAACGTCCCGGACAAGTAGGGCGGATAATCCGCCGATAACCTATTAGGACTCGTGTGCAACGATGTCAAGGACTCCGTTTCACGGTAGTCATGCGCGTAAAGAATTCGATCGACGGAACAATCATCATGTTGAGTGGAGAGCCATCGGTTACAGTAGAATACAGTTGGCTCGGACTTGGACTGATGAGCCTCCTGAGTTGTGCTGACCACTTCCGCTCCCCGCAAATGTACCTCTATTCGCGACAAAAACCAGGAGGCTCCAGGACCACTGCCATCATGCCGAATGCGTGCTTTATATATTTTTCCAAGATACTCTAAATCCCAGTGGAAGATATCGGTCTATCATGGGAAACAGGAGAAAAAACAATCAGGTCAGGATGATTATCTCCTTTAAGAAGATTCAAAATTTACAAACACTGTGCATGTTTCGTAATTATGTTCATGAAAAACCTAACGGATGACTAACACACAATACTTTTGTGAGGAACAACCGTGCATGTATTTTGACTTTGCTGTCGTTTGGAATATAACTGTTCACAACGCTTTATTGCGGATATTTTCTATTGTTGTGTGGCCATCCATACAGCTCTCCCTATCTAGGAAGTCCATCCTGAGGTTGGATCCCTTCGCGCTCACCGTCTGCAGCCGGTTAATTCTCCCTCACATGACTGGAGAACCTAACTACTTATAAACTAACCGACTCCATTGCCGACCATCCCGTCACTTACTAGCCGATATGAAAAAATACCAAATTTCTGTAGCCTTGATTCGAGATTGGGTTACCTAAAGTTCCCAGGTGGTGCTTGGTCAACACGCTCAACTGCAACTTGCTATGAAAGAATACAAGATCTGGATATATAACACAAAGAGGACGTCACAGTGCCCCTGAACCCGCTTAGCATTAGGGTGGCTTCTAAGAGTTTACACGTGCTTACCGCCCTACATTGGGAAGAAGCTTTCGTAATACCATATGGTAGGTAAGCATCGGTGTCGATCAGTGATGTCTTACCGTTGATATCCCGAATACCACACATGACTTCGTTCATTAAAACCACTTGGTGAAAGGCAAGTATTCTGTGATAATCAACTAAATCATAGTTCCTAGTGTTTGATCTTAGAAGGCCAAGAGACAACACACAGGAAAATGGAATCATGCCGGATCATTGTCCCCAAAATATAAGGATAGGCAGAGGCTCGAGAGGGGAAGATAGTATTCCGAATTGAGGTAGCCGGGGCACTCTAGGTTCACTTATACGCCCTCAGCAAGTCCTGCAGGTAAAGAACGATATTTTAGCCATATCCGCCTGTCGGATTCTAACAACAACCAAGTAGCAATAAATGGATGGCATTTAAGTGCATTTGGGTGCATTTGGGTGCATTTGTTAGCGTGTTTATTCATAAGCCTTGAGTGGAAAAGTCTTCAAAATACAAATATGAGTACCAGAAATTGGGTTTCGTCATTAATCTTATTACACTACATGGCTCCAAGCTGTTCAAATAGATCTTGTGATACTAATCAATTCTCAATCTGTAGGTAACGCAATGTGTACTACAAAGAAGCACACTCGCCTCGATTTCTGAGAGGGCATCCAATGCTGGTGCATCAAACACAAATTTGTCTGTTGTTCCTTTTCGAAGTGCAGTCCCTCTTGATTCGTTAAAAAGTAGGAATTTTCCAATATCCTCGCCGTGTTTCCCAATGCATTTTATCCACACAGGTCCGGGTGTAGCCGCATGTTTGATAGATCCGGTGACGACACGCACGTGATATGGTACTGCTGTTAAGGGCACATATGCAGAAAAATGTCAGATATATTCGTCATAAGCCAAACATAACCGAGAACAAACAAGATGGTATAATGTCCCATAAGGTATAGGAATAAGCAGTTTACTCTTACATATGCATGGCAAGATGGTTAATTAGGGATATTTGATATATTGTTCATTGCTATGTGCAGCCCACTGGAGGGCTTGCAGCCGTTCCCTGGTCAGTTAGAAAAAACATTCTTATATCAGCTCCAGTGATATGATTGTTTTTAAGTTGGTAAAGCAGTTCATAAGTTCATTTTGATAAGGAACTCTGTTTAAAGTGAACTAAATGGTAAAAATCGTTCCCATGCTCGGTAATATCCTTTAAAGAAGGCAGTTCTGAAGGAGAATTATTTCTTAAACTAAAAGATTGGGGGTTCGATAAGTAAAAGTTAGTTGCGATAGAACAGCTTGTTTTCATTGAATTTTGGTTCTGGTAATTCACTTCGTAGCGACTTACTGGGCGTAACAGAGTGATCCGTCTGCCGTACCTCGTCTGAAGACGACCTTGGAAAGATAAACGTCCCGGACAAGTAGGGCGGATAATCCGCCGATAACCTATTAGGACTCGTGTGCAACGATGTCAAGGACTCCGTTTCACGGTAGTCATGCGCGTAAAGAATTCGATCGACGGAACAATCATCATGTTGAGTGGAGAGCCATCGGTTACAGTAGAATACAGTTGGCTCGGACTTGGACTGATGAGCCTCCTGAGTTGTGCTGACCACTTCCGCTCCCCGCAAATGTACCTCTATTCGCGACAAAAACCAGGAGGCTCCAGGACCACTGCCATCATGCCGAATGCGTGCTTTATATATTTTTCCAAGATACTCTAAATCCCAGTGGAAGATATCGGTCTATCATGGGAAACAGGAGAAAAAACAATCAGGTCAGGATGATTATCTCCTTTAAGAAGATTCAAAATTTACAAACACTGTGCATGTTTCGTAATTATGTTCATGAAAAAACCTAACGGATGACTAACACACAATACTTTTGTGAGGAACAACCGTGCATGTATTTTGACTTTGCAGTCGTTTGGAATATAACTGTTCACAACGCTTTATTGCGGATATTTTCTATTGTTGTGTGGCCATCCATACAGCTCTCCCTATCTAGGAAGTCCATCCTGAGGTTGGATCCCTTCGCGCTCACCGTCTGCAGCCGGTTAATTCTCCCTCACATGACTGGAGAACCTAACTACTTATAAACTAACCGACTCCATTGCCGACCATCCTGTCACTTACTAGCCGATATGAAAAAATACCAAATTTCTGTAGCCTTGATTCGAGATTGGGTTACCTAAAGTTCCCAGGTGGTGCTTGGTCAACACGCTCAACTGCAACTTGCTATGAAAGAATACAAGATCTGGATATATAACACAAAGAGGACGTCACAGTGCCCCTGAACCCGCTTAGCATTAGGGTGGCTTCTAAGAGTTTACACGTGCTTACCGCCCTACATTGGGAAGAAGCTTTCGTAATACCATATGGTAGGTAAGCATCGGTGTCGATCAGTGATGTCTTACCGTTGATATCCCGAATACCACACATGACTTCGTTCATTAAAACCACTTGGTGAAAGGCAAGTATTCTGTGATAATCAACTAAATCATAGTTCCTAGTGTTTGATCTTAGAAGGCCAAGAGACAACACACAGGAAAATGGAATCATGCCGGATCATTGTCCCCAAAATATAAGGATAGGCAGAGGCTCGAGAGGGGAAGATAGTATTCCGAATTTTCATGTGAAACTATCCGCTTATTCTGAGTGCACACATCGCCGCGCACTAATGACTTCCCTTCTACTTGTATTGAAACATTTACTAGTTAATTGCCAAGCCCATGAGTATGTCAACAGGCATCTAATCAATCACCAGTCTGCAGGTGGTATATAGCAATCAGCTTTCCAACTTCCGTACATTCTCGAGATTCATAATCTCGCCTGAACTAAGCGGAATATGTATTTAGTGGTCTGTGGTCTGCAAACTACACAGGCCGTTGGAGACGAAATTCGGCAGAATGAATGGTAAATTCATTTGCGCAACAGAACTTTTTGCGAAAGCCGGGTGTCATCCTTGACATTCGTGATTAGCAGGTATCCTCTTACTAAATTAACACTGAGTTCAGCCGTATTTAACTCTTAATCACATCCTTGAACAAAAGATTTGATAAGTATTCTGTCTGCTTCCATTTCTGTGCGGAGAATATTAGTCTTGGTTTTGAAGACTCTGCTCATTGTCAGATTGACAAAGTAGCTATATTCAGTCTTTCAAAGCCTATATTTGCTTAGGTGTTGTTAGCTAGGATGGAAGAACAACCATATAGTAATCTGGCAGGTACAAAATAGTGCAAACGTTATACTGACGATATCTCAATTCAGTTTTTCTCATATATTGTGGTGAGTGCGGGGAGATAGATACTTTTATCAAAAGGCATCGAGATAGCACATCGGGTTGTAGCAACTGTCACGAAAATGTCATAGTCAGTGTCCTTAGTTCCAGAGCTCTTCATCAGTGAAGTGTGAAGGAGCCGAGTCAACAAATCGCTACACCAGCAAGAAATCTCTAAACTCCGCTCAAAGTAGCAGTCATCTTGAAACTTGGCGATGACCACTGTTCGAATGCAAACCCCTCAAGATTCCACGGCGAACCCAAAGTAAAGGAGTATTCTTACACAAATTATCGTACATGATCCTTGCAAGAGGCTCGTTCCGTATAAGCTGTGGTATAAACTGTACACCCTCATGGCCGGTCAGCTGAAATTATCCCTGTCCTCGGTGGCCTGAGGTATCAAGTTGACCAATATTGGTGACTGTCTATCTGTCGCCTATGTCACATCTCGATTCAGCAGCAGCTGCGATGACACACTGGCGGATTGGACACAACCTGCCTAAATAATTGGCTAAACAAATCACGCAAACTGACATGTGCAATGTGACAACGATTGCACCGAACACCATCCGTCGTAAAGAACCTTTTAATCATAGGTCATTCAGCTGACCTCAGACAGACATTCAAAGTTCTGTTGCAAAATCAAACCGCTCAGATGTAATTATCTATTGAGGAAACGCTCACTGGACAAAGGTAGTCAGTTTTATTCACGCCAAAAATATTGACCCGTAACATTCTTTAGTAGACATAGACTTCGGAACATGTATCTTCACTGTTTTCAGCAATTTTCCGTGCTTCCATAAACAAAGACATGTGAAAATAGCTATAATTACAGTGCATTGTCATCTGGCCGACCCTAGCAAGGAAAATGGTGGTATGCAAGTCCTTGCTGGTAAAGTGCAAGTGTCTCGGGCCTAGCTGTTGCTGGTTTCCGTTCTCTTACACCTCTGAGTTGCACTGCTGGTGGGTGTACACACACTTCCGGATAATAACGCCTGGAACCATGGTAATACGTGTCATGGTAAGAGTTGTGGATGCCTGAGCGCCAGTTTTGGGAACGAGAATGTTCTGTTTGTTTATGTGTTGAACAGAATACCTTTAACGATCCACCAAGCATATTGTTTACTCAATGAAGTAAGATCATTTCCAATCATATATGATATGTTCAATCTAGGATGCATCTGAAGTGGAAAATGCTTGGCGTTCTGCCTTAGGACGAAGTTAGGATGATCTCAGGCGTTACTATATCCTTTCGCATTTGTCCACAAATTAGAGTTTCGGTGGAAGTTTGGCCTACTTCATATCCACCAAGTGTAGAAGCAAACAAAGTCAGAGTAGAACGAATTCAGAGCAAATGTTAGAGTTTAAGTCAGCAAACCGGTGAATGGATCTAGACAAACGCTTTGATGCTAGAATTATAGAACCCCAGAACCTGGTGATAGGACAAACGAACGAGTGCAAGCCCATAGTCTTCCACAACGAACCTAGTAATAAGTGACCAGAAAGTAGTATGGCAAAGTAGACCGCGCTTGTACTGGGTGATGAAGTAAAAGACAATCTAATAAATACCATCATAGCGGTACAACGCATTGCATAGCACTGTGAACGCATTGACACTCGGATTCGTAACCATAATTTTGACAAATGGAAATACTGGAAAGACAGCAGCTTTTTTCTTAAACAGCCAATCAGATTGGACAGCTATTCATGGCTGACTCAGCACAGCAGTTTTCTGATTCTGGCCAACCAAGCGGTGCCAAAGACGACTAGTGGGGTGTGCAAGATGTGTACTGTTCACATTCACATCACTCTCATTTGAACAGTCGTCCTTCTGTCCTGGGGCAATTATTCTGTTGAATCCACACCAAAGGGGGGAAGCACTGGACTCGAGCTTCTATCTTACCAGAGCTCATCAGTAGTGCATATTCAATGACCGTGCCGGGGTTTGAACTTCGGACACCTGAAATGCGAGGCGAAAGTGTTATCAGTATTTCATCAGCGCACGTTGGACGCATCTGAATTCTCACGGTTGGAAAGTTGTCCAGGGGCAATTATCTGTTGAATCCACACCAAAGGGGGGAAGCACTGGACTCGAGCTTCTATCTTACCAGAGCTCATCAGTAGTGCATATTCAATGACCGTGCCGGGGTTTGAACTTCGGACACCTGAAATGCGAGGCGAAATTGTTATCAGTATTTCATCAGCGCACGTTGGACGCATCTGAATTCTCACGGTTGGAAAGTTGTCCAGCGGATTTCAAGCGTCTGTGGAGCTACCTGACTGGGAGGTACTGACAAGCGGCCCAATCGATCATCAAACCAAGACAGTTACTGAGTCGTCGTATCGATGGCCTGTCGGGCATAACAGTCACATCGCTAAAGTGTGAACACGTTCACCCTTTCAAACGTGAGAATTCAGATGCATCAAACGCGCGCTGGTGAAATACTGGTAACACTTTCGCCCCGGATCTCAGGTGTCCGGGGTTCAAATCCCGACACAGCCATTGGATATGCACTGCTGATGAGCTCTTACAAAAGCCAAACCCGAGTCCGGTGCTTCCCCCCTTAGGATAGACCAGAATAATTGCGCCAGGAAAGGAGGACGACTGTTCAACTGAGAGTGACATGAATGTGAACAAAGACGACTAGGTTAAACTCTCGTCGCCATCGTAAGGGTATTATCCACCTTGGTACGATTCCAAATACCGTTCGCGCTTTGCGTTCGAGATGCATGGATTTGCGTATTCTGTTTATACACCAAATCAATCAGTTCTTTCGTGGTCACGTGCCCGACTTCCGTCTGTATGTTCGAGCATGTCTGGATTCCAGGCGATAGACTGGTGCCTACTAATGCTGTAGTGGACAAAGTTACGTGAGAGCACATATGCACCGTGATACTGACTGTGATTTTGTTGGAGTTAGTAGCGAATGAGGGAGTCAACACGCATCGGAAAAAGCCAATTCATGACGGCCATATTTGACTGGACCGATCCACCCTTTCTTCGTAGATTTACCCCGCAGTTTTGAAGAAAACAGCACTGACGTCACCTGACAAAATGCAGTACACAAGCACAGTGTTGGAGTTGAATCACGCCAACACAGAAATGTCATTCACAGAAAAGCATAGTACATCTGAACGGGTAACTTACATTTCCAGCCTCAAATTTATTTCTATGTATTTGAGATTCTGCCAACTTGCGTTCTCCGCTATCACCATTTTCGCCGTATAGTGTAAGGTATACGTTAGCGTCTGTTCCGGCATTCTGCTCGTCTCCTGTGATCACATGGATTTCGTATTGCCTCAAGGTAATCTCTGGTTGAATTTCTTCATTGGCTGATTGTATTTCAGCCACTGTTGCAAGAGGGTAGAGTAGGCGTTCCAGTGTCATATCTCCTTCGTCGGCTGAAAGCCAATGTTCACATGGAAACACCATGGTTTCGTTCACCTTGTAAATAAAAAGGGTGGAAACGATCCTTTGTGGCTCAAAGTGTTGCGCGGTGAGAGCGTCAATTAGTCGACGAGCACTATCAACTAACAGGCTTACTAGCCATTTATCTTGTATGTGCTTTCTTGCATAAGGGGAGAATAGAGTAGGATCATACGACGAACAGTTTCCCTTATCTAGAAGATGGTAATCCTAAGGTTTTTAACACACTGAGAAGGTGTTCAATTCAAAGAAGAACGTTTTTATTGCGTGCATTGAATACCGTTCAAAAATATCGCAACTGGTCTTTTAAAGCAACTGTCCTCTCCATTTGGCTTACCTCAATCAGTCTCTACCAAAAATGAAGTTCACTCTAACCAATATTGGATCACGCGCTTCCAGCTGCGTGGGAAACAATGTTAGAGCATCAAAACTAACAAACTTGAACTTAGTTTAAAATTATATCATCAAAATGCAATAAAGAACGCTGATGGCGTCAGAGCACAAATGTCTTCGTGTGACAGTTCGCTGAAATGTACTTTGAAAGTTTTCTTACTTCGTGTTTACCACGCAGATGCCTCTTCTTTGGCGAAATTATCTAACACACACCACTGCTCCCACAGGAATAAGGAATACAGATGTGTTTCCTAGATCACTGAATTCTTGGATGTGATTGACGTTTACGCGATTTCCACTGGTCATGCTTTTCTGGGAAGCCTAGTCTACAGTTGACTTTAGACCGTATGTAGACCTAGGACACAACATCAACTGAATATGCGGTATAATTCAACAAGACCATAAGCAAGAACGTACTGAATTACGTTTATTGGGATGAGGCGACATTCGACCCCGAACCCGAGCTTGATGTCAAAGTAAAGTAATGTGCTGTTTCTGAGCCCTAGTTGCTTAAAATTACGCGAGTCCTTTTCTCGCTTTTAGTCACCCATTTACCTAAGTAAGGGTTCGAGATTCTTATGGGTTGTAGATGAGACTTCCCTTAATGAGTGAAAGTTTCGCTTATCCGTTTTGATTTATCCGTGGATTCGACAACACCTGGTAGGACGTTTTCGAATTCAGAGTGGTGCCAAACAGGTAACCCAAAACCATTGCTCTAGTCGTTTCTGCTGAGAACTTCTATATTCTTCTGTAAAATTAGAGCCAATAAGTCGACGGCTACGAACAGAGGTTAACACTGTAACAGATGATTGCTGTAGAGGACCGTAATCTGTATGGTAGATGATGTTTCAATTAGATGACAGTACTAAACTACACTTTTCATAAATTTCACGATGCTAGTTCTTATTCATCTTACTTGATCATCTGGATGAATGAGCTTCAGTTCCACTCGACTGATATTCCAATTTGGTTGAGTTCCATGGCCATCATGCCAAAGACGGATTTTCTGGAGAGGTAACGGAATATGATCCGTTTCAATTAGGAAGGTGTCCACTGCCCCGGGTTTGAACGGCGAACCTTCTCCTTCCTTTCTCGTGAGATGCACGGGGTCACAGGCTTCACCGTTCCGACCAAATAGTTGCAGAAATACATTTGCTGTCATACGCGGAGAACCAGACGTTTCGGTTGTGTGAGCTTTTACCTCGAAAGTCATTGCTGGATAGAAACGGTTCGGAACAAACCGTTATTTTGTTGGATAGAATGGGAACCGAAACAAGTAACTGTCGGGTTTTGTGCCAGCCCAACTAGGGCATGGGACAGCCTTATGTATATTTAGCAGCAAAATATAAGGAACGCTCACATTGTTGCATATTTTTCCCAGTCTTCGAATACGCACTTCTTTCTTTAAAGAACTCTTCTTCTTGAGGACAGTTGGGGAGGTTTTCAATTACAGACTACGAAGATGTATGCTGAACTCATGTTAATTGTGTTGGTGTACATTTTTGCTACTGTCAAACAGGACTTCGAAAGCTACAAACTGTCTTCCAGTTGCTTGCCGTATGTAGTCTTTGCCAAGCAGGACAAATTGCAAGGACGTCAGATATCTTAAACATCCAAGAATGAATGATGAATTTCGCCTCACTGAAAACGGTCGACGTTGTGTTTTCCACATAGCATTTACTGATGGACTTGCATCATTTTTTCATTTTTTGATATGATAATGTTATGCAGCTTATTTTTTTCCAATCGGGCACTTATCATGGCCCGGTTTACTCACTTGGACGTAGAGGTCGAGTAAGCTCATCCTGTGTTTCGAATTCCGCCTCAACGTGGTGACCTCTAGCTGCTGGAAGAAGCCAGCGATTGCACCGAAACGTCCAAATTCGGTTCAATTCTGACGATTCCACTTCAACTTGATCAACCTGCCAAGCGGATGAGGCGCCTGATGAATCGTGCCCGATTCTGTAATGGAATTACGACAAAAAAGGTGAAATCATAGCAGCCAGTGATGTAAACTGAAAAATGTTCCCAGATATTGAACCAAATGATAAAAAAACCGGGCTTTCCAGACAAACTATCCTACGGTAGAGTAAAATGGTGCGTCCAGTGTGGTTTGTGTGATAGTTTGTGACCAGTAGGCGGGTAACGGGTAAACATTAGTTGCCAAGTTTTCCTTTGAAGCACATTAAAATTCATATGAAAGCCAACATATATGTATATATAAGTCCGTATAATTCCGCATGAATAATGGCAGGAAAAAAGTGCCTTTTATGGTGAGGATTAATTATATCACAAAGAACACCAATAAAGGCCCACCGCGCAATAATTCTTTCAAAACAGAATTCTTTTGGGGGTAATTCACTTTTCTTTTAATAAAACAGTGATGTTTTTGGCCAATGGCTGAGGTAAAAAGAAAGCTGCCGTCGGGACGGTGTTTTATTTTTATGAGGCTATTATAGCCACCGTCTTAGTATGGTCGCATCTAATTTTCGTGGTATGAATTTCAAACAACTTATTGCCATTTAACATAAGTTTTTCTCCCGCTGACCAATCAGGAATCACCTTGATGGTTTTATCGTAGGTAAGTAGTGCAAAGAGGCGTAACCAAGGTCAGTTCACTAAACCATTCTGACGAGGGTAGAACCATTTCATTATATTTTGCTGTACACCATTTGGATATCAGGGACCGCAGAAAGACACGACTGATCCCATTCATCTGCCTCAGTTATCTACACCGGTGGGGCACTCACCATCAATATAAACTCCGGTCTGTACCTCTATCTCCCTCTGGAGTAAAATCACCACATGGGTCAAAACAGCGCTAAAACATATGCACAAATATTGATTAGGAAGGACATTGTTTATGTTTCCCGTTGCCCCATTTGATTACAAGCTCTCCAGACAGGAGTTTTCTAAATCCATGCTTAATTAAACTTACCATCATTGTTGGTTCTGACAGGCGCGATAAACGTAACGTCAACTGGACGCACGAAGGTGATAATGGACTAGGAATGATGAGCAGAGACTGTAAAAATCGACTATGCGTATGACTTTGTAAGCCATACACAAAACTGATTAATATTGTGAACGTATAATATGATTAAGGAATACAAATCACATCATCATCACAGCACGACGTTAGTGTTCAGTACTGGTGCTCCCATGCCGTACAAACATTGTTTAGTTAAAGGCCTTACTGCGAAGAATTGGAATGGACTTAGTGCTTGCTTACTACAATCACACCCAGGTATCTGCACTGCCAGTCTCATTCAGGCTAACTGGATAAAAACCGACAACAGAGACGCCATTGACATCGAACGGTAGCCATATCTTGCAGTGTCTACAACCAGGTACAGAGGAGAACGCGTGGTCCTTATATTCTAAGGTGAATCCAACAGACACCACCCAGATTTTTAGAGTATCTTTCATACCCCTATGCAAGGCCCAGGGTTGGTCACCGCCACATTGACTTGGGCATAGAAAATAGCACTTTCTTCGGCAAACAATTTTTAGGCCCGATGAATATATGATCCAACAAACACCGTTTCTTATACTCGACACATTCTTTAATGAAAGTCCCCGTTGCACAACCGAAAATTCACTTTGTGACTGCCCAGCTATGGATTCACCGACACGAACCCACACCAGTTACGGTTATGGGACAACGGTTGTCGAGCACCCGAAGATGTCTCCGTTCCGCTCCTCGAACAGACCGAGTCTCACAGCCATACAACAAAACAACCAACATTGTAGTTTGATACACACGTCTCTTGGGGTTTAGGGACACACTTTTCTAACACCATAAGTGTCCCAAATTAGCAAACGCAACCTGGACCTTGAAGACCTGACCTCATCTGTCACACTACACTCAGAGATGATACAACTTCCAAGATATGTAAAACGCTCCACAAATTCCAGTACCGCTCCCTGGGTTGTAAGTGACATGTTCAGTGACTGCATATCCACGAGGATGACTTACACTTTGTGGATGCAAGGTATTTAACGAAGGACAGGTTGACCTTGGTCTGTTTAGCCAAAAACATTTGCAATTCCCACTCCTCTTCGAGGAGAAAAACGATGTCGTTCACATATTCCAGATCGACAGGATTTTTGTCACAGGGTATTTGAACGCTGATGTTTTGAAGACCTTCCATCGTTGGCTTCATTATCTCGATCATGAAAATAAACATATACATCGCACATAACGTAATCATAAGTAATTCGCGGTTTTGAGCGTCACCTGCGGAATCATTTCGAATTGCTGCTTGATAGCGAGGGAGTAAGTATATCTACCTCGATGAGTCTTTCCTCTACCATTTTTAATTTATGATGCGCGCATTCATTATCCGTGGACGCAGCGCACATCAACGTCACCTACGTCGCAAATTTTACAAGTTGCCATTCATCTTACCGGACAACGTTTGAAAGGAAAGCCCTTGAAGATCAAAATCAATTTGGTCTTTATGTGTACTATCTAGCAAAGTGTTGATAAGGTTTAGCAGCTGAATGCTTGTCGGCCCCGCATTTCATGGCAGTTTAACTTTTGTCTGGCGAGTGCTGTCTATTTTGTAGAACTCGACCTTGCCCAGTTGTGTATCAGATAAAACTCTCGCTCTAGAATTTAGCTTTTGAATGGGTAGACGAGGCAGTTTCTAGTTGTAGTGTAGGATGTTGCCATGCACTTTCTTTAGTTCACCAAAAGCGCGTGGATATATCCCACAATCAGAACGTTTGAGTTATAGACTAATTAGAATGGCAGTAGCAAGTAACCGGATCTCTAGTTCATGATATACTTCCACAATATTTACTGTACAAAGACCAATTTATGTTACAGTTGGAACGATAATTAAGATTCTATTCGTTTGTATGGTTCTCGCGTTTACACTCGTGTCACACAGGTTTACATGTAGATATGGATTTCGGTCCACCATGGAAGGCATACGTCCGGGTGCATTGCGTTAATTCCCACCGAGGTACGTTGTTTGCGCGTGCCCCTTGCACGTGCCTCTTGAGAGCTCTCCCTTCTAGCACACAGAGTACCACGACCTTGAGAAATTGAGTTAGTTTTGTTTTAGCGTCTCAGATGCGCATCGGTTGAGTTGACGACAGAGCAGAATAATTATCCCGGATACACAGAACAAAGTTTTAGATTGTAATCCAACATTCGTTGACAGTAAGTTTCTGCTTCAGTTCTAATGGATCAACGGCAAGTGTTCGCGAATTTCGACCCAAACTTAACCATAACTTGCATTGAAAGCACGAGTTAAAAGTCACGAAAATTGCAACTCTTCTGTCCATTGAGGTCAAGGGATTCCGGCTCAAAATCCATCGTTTATTCATGCTGTTTTAGTCAGCTCTTTAACCTGTAAAAATTGGCGGGAACGGGATCTACAGAGGAAGGATTCTTTCTGGTGAGTCAGCGACTGTTCTCCCAAATCATCGGTGAACGAAACTTCGGCAGCTACAACCACTGTAAGAAGAGTACACGGTTATCACAGCTGACAATGATGATGACGTAATGTACTTTATGATCATCCAGCACATCTTACAGGGTGAATATACTCTAGATGAGGTGTAATTAACTGCTTCGTCGGGGATCCTTTATGAAGAATCCCAATGACGCATCCATTCAGCACAAAGAAATCAAAACGAAACCGTAATATTGCGAGTAGCCTTCACACTGAAACCATGAACATCTTGAGAAGGCTACAAGGTTGCTCATCACACTGGCCTCCTTTAAGACTAAACCCCACACCGACCACCACTGTACGCTCTGGAGGACAGTTAACTATTTGGTTTTGCAAGTGTGTAATTAAGTTTCATTACCACAGTTTTATCATTCCAGTTCCACCAAAGAATCCACGAAGACTCGCGCTCGGTTCCCGTCAGAAGAGTCACCCTTGACGTCGTGAATATTAAGTTTGTTTCTAATCATTCGTCAGCCCGGTCAGTGTAATGTTTCTTCACACAACTGGGTTTTACTGTGCGCTAGGCTGACGCAATATCTCGTCATGCTCTTGCGCCACACAGTATTGCATAAAATTACACACATATCTGCTCGAAAAAAAATTGGACGAGGAAGAGTGGTTATGCAACATGGAGATCAGCTGAAACGGTGACTGACCAGGGCCAAATGATAAACTGAAGAGCTGTGTTGCCTATATATCTACGATGTTCATAAATATAAGTGAGGCTGGTTCGCAATTTGTGGGGAGTTCCTTTCCAATCGTTAGATTTGAGCAGTTGCATTTTAGAACATTTGTTGGGCTGGTTCACGAGAACCTAAGAGGTACCCTTTGTAAAGCTGAGAAAGTACGGAGAATTCATGGTTTACATGTGGAATATTTCACGGTTGGAAGGTTAAATTACACGTGGGAAGAATAGTATTTAGTAGCGCGGGCCAGCCAGAGTCTGCCTGGATGGTGGCTGAGGGAACCTGTTGGTGAGCTGCGAGTGTCTGTACAACAAAACACGATATCGCGCGTTTGCTAGTCACCTCAAACTTCATTGGTTCCGCCACAAGTGCTCATCTCTAACAATGGATTGAACAAGTGTGGTCATGAGCATTTCCTGAGCACCAGTTTAGATGAGCTGAATGTCCCTTAGAGGCCACTTTTATGCTCCTGTTCATCTAAACGAGAGCGAACCTTAGGTACATTTATAAAAAAGAGTCTTATAAGCACACTGTCACAAAAGAAGTGATCCCATTGGCCTAAACAAACTTTAAATATGTTGGTTTACATTAGTTTTGTGATCACTGTTCTCACTGCACTCACCGAATCTTAGTAACTGGGCCCACATGATCTGTTCTGACTGTGAAACTGTCCATCCCACCCGATTCAAACATATTTCGTTTCTTTCTTCCGTTTTCACCTCTACTGTTCGACAGCTGAAGAGCACCAGTGCACCCATGTTCACCGAACAGCTCGATGAAAACCCGGGCGTTTGTTCCAGCTCCAAATTCAGTTCCGGTACGAACACGTATGACATAAGTCGCCATCCCACCTGTTGGTTTAAACATTTAGATTTTCCACCAAAAGAAACCTCAACCTGTGTACACGAATAAAGCATTTGACAATGCCACACTATATGGTTATATAGAAGAGTGGGAAAAGGATACAAGCTCGAGCCAGGTTGATGGATGGACTGAGCCTATAACTTTTTTCAGTCTAACCAGTTAGAAATTTGTGAGCGCAATCTATGCAATGCGGGGACAAGCGCTCCAACATTAAGCTATCTACATTTTACTGAAGAGAAAACAGTGCGTGTAGACTGTGTGACGATAAACGGATCACTGATGAAGTTTGTCAATCGTACTGCATGTGACTTGTTATAAATTAACTCATTTGCGTTATATTCGCACACAGCTAATTAGTAGATGTCAGGAATGTTTAGAGAGGGATATTCGTTGGTTTCTCTGATGTTACTCTTGTGATTTGCGAGTTTATTAGATTTCCTTTTTGGTGAAATGCACCAAGATATTTTGCTTATCATGCTGGTGGTAGATTTTAACTTTCTACTATTCAGGAACAATAATTTCGTCTACGATATGACTGCCGTTAAGTTGCGAAACCAGGCTCATACATATCTTTTGCAGCTCTCCATAATCCTAGGGGATTTCTCATCTCATGTTAAATCTTGGCACGGGATCAGTTTTCAAATGGTGCCAAGTTCTATCACTCTCAATCATTTTTAGGAATATGAATCAGCATCAGCGAAGCATGCAGCATTTTGGGTGAACCTGTTAGACAGAAAGCTCCATGATGTATCTTTCAGTTACTTAACAGCAGTCATATCGTAGACCAGATTATTGTTCCTGAATAGTAGAAAGTTAAAATCTACCACCAGCATGATAAGCAAAATATCTTGGTGCATTTCACCAAAAAGGAAATCTAATAAACTCGCAAATCACAAGAGTAACATCAGAGAAACCAACGAATATCCCTCTCTAAACATTCCTGACATCTACTTTACAGCAGGCAATAACTTGGACAAATGAAGTAGCTCACCTGCTTCAGGCAATGCAATGCAATCCTTGATATTCTTTCCATCTTTCCAACGTCGAAAGACATCGGAGGATGCTGGCGTTAGTTCTTTTGAAATGATCCCATCTTCTCGGTCACGCGATAGGAAAAAGTAACAGGGGAATAGATACTCAAGCCCTTGTCGAGAATTGCTCGTTTTGATTGAAATCCACTCCAAATACCAGTCGGTAGAATCAGCAGCTTCACCCCGACGAATTTTAACCGTCTGTAATTCTCCAAGACCAATCAACGTTAACTAGAAGGAGCAGGTAAAAGAGCAAAAATATTCCCTTTCAACCACCGGGACACTAGTTTGAGGTCAATCAAAGTGGAGGTCTGATGGTGCGCTTAATGCCACTATTGATAACTCGATACTCACCTCAAACTTGTCCACTCCATTTGGCTGTATGGATTTTCCCGACCTATATTCTACCTCAGCTGAATCGTTATCCCGGCCACAAAGAACGAGGTACATGCTTCTCTTCTTTCCGCTGTTGCTTCCGTTTCCAGCTTTGACGAGAATCTCATATTTCGACTCTTGGGGATGAAAAGATATGGGCAGCAAACTGGTCATAATGTCTTTTCAAAAGGTGTCCTGAAAATATTGTTTACTTTTATTTCCCTGAGCACCTTACACGTGATATGCTCGGTGTCTTCGACCTGCTTAAAGCCTCAAGCAATCCCCCAAAATACTTAGTTCGCCGTTAAATCCCGTCGAGTTGGGAGATTTTGACGCGGATGCTGCGCTTACAATTCCGTTCAGAACTGGATGTCAGTTACCAGGAAAAAGCACACGCAAAAAACAAGATTTTTAAAAATAGTCATGATAAATGCAGTGGCTTACAGATAAGTTACGAGTCTGGGGACCCAAGAAGAAGAAATAAAGGCGCAAGCTCCGGGGAAATTCCCAATACCTTTTCCGGGCACAGACGTGCCCCAAGGATCTCTTCAGGCACGTGCACAGCTTATTTTGACGCCAACTATAAGTTCAAAAATAACTTGAATGGGTGTTGCAATAACCTGGAGCCGTTTCTGAAGACTCAGAACCCACTCTCAAAGTGTCACAACCCATATGAACCCATATGAACATTTATTTCCCTAATCAAAATCTGACCTTGATGGGGTGCGTAATCAGTTTTTTTTACCCAGAAATCAACACTGAATACAAACTTGACCAAATGTATACATGTGCGTTCAGTCCAGGTAAACATACCGAACTCACAATGATATTTATTGAAATGGGGAATGGAACTAGTTGCAAACAGAATCCAGCCCATCTGGTCACATACAATTTTCGGTACCCTGTTGCAGATCTTGTTGTGTTCGCTTATTATAGCAAACAAATTTTAATTTGAGAATGAATTGTGAAAACTCCTGCATGATTTTATATACTGGTACTTCATTGTGTGGCATGTCCACACCACTGATTTTGCGACCATTTCTATATAGTGCTCCTCGATTACATTTACGCACTACGGACTAAAGTGCATTCAGAATTTTTGGAGTGGAAATAATCATGGGAACCTGACCCAGGTGGTGTTATAGTGAATCGATAGGTTGATAACGATGGAAAAAGGCAGTAAATGAATGAAACGGTGACTTGAGGGAGTTGAATTTCCAACCACGTTTTCCATTTGGCCCAATTCTTCTTCACAGGTAGGAAATGAAACGTCCAGTTGCTGATCGATCTGGCGAAAAGTTGTTTGTTTAGTACCGATGGTCACCTTCACTCTCACCTGAACAGTCGTCCTCCTGTCCAAGTGTAGTTATTCTGGTGAGTCCGCACCAAAGGGGCGAGCTCGTTAGCAATGCTTATCCAGTGGTTGGGCTTGGATTTGAAATCCGGTCATGTAACATGTGTTACCACTACTCCACCAGCGCACTTTGGACGCATCTGAATTTACACATCTGACTAGGCGATATGACCGATATGATTGGTGTGCCTGACGACTCATCATCGAACCACGACCCAGTAACCGTCCTGGTTGAAACAATCGATTGACCTGTCGCAGCTTTCCAGTCAGGCAGCGCCACAAACGCCTGAAACCCGCTGGACAGCTTTTTGATTTTTGTTGTGGGGTTTGCTGGATATGCTTCGTTCATATTCAAGTCTATTGCTTCCCCTCTTCGATGTGGACTCACCAGAATAATTACGCCAGGACAGGTGGACGACTGATTTGAATACGAACAGCAGAAGACTAGTTTCTTGTAATGTGATTTGCTAGGATCATCCTATCGCCTTGATGACACCTTCCAAATTTCTTGGGTCACGCGAAATGTTCGAGGGAAGGGTCATTATGAAGATTCATCTCAATGTTGGTGGATCCGGTCACTGTGGTATATAAATAGTTTTGTTCGAAATGAACAGGATCAATATATCTTAAGCAAGTATACTCACCCTAACGACAGTGACGTGTGTCCGAAAGACGACCTTAACAACCTTTGGCCCGTCCATCCAAACAAGGTCACCGAGTTCACAACACGTGATTTTGTGTAATCCTCAACCACACTACCGAAACATTTACATATCGAAATTCAACAGTGCATTACTCCACGGGCATCTAGAGTTGAATGATTTTACTTAGCCTCGACTGTTTGCGCTTCAAATAATGAATTAAAAATCGGCCTCAAAAAAACAGACAGCATTATTATTCCCTTATTACTCATCTATTACCTACATTATGATGGAGTAAAACGATACCTTTTGACTGATGGCGAGCAAATCAGGTTAGCTGAATTGCAAGTGCCTTGCTTTGTGGTTTGTGCCACAAAGTGACTATTTATCTGACAACCTTCGGGTTAGTATTGTGGCCGATACAAGAATCCATAGTGAGAACATCTTCTAGTGTACACTGGGAAAACTGTGGAAACTATTCAAGACCATGCAGTCTCATACCAGTGAGCTTATTCAAAAGTCTCCCATCCTCAGTGGTGGCTGGAATCTCGCAGACAGCAACATGATTACCCGTGGATTGCATGCACTCTCCGTCAACAATGAACCAGTAGTTCTCCATTTGGGAATGATCGAGAAGTCCTGGGCAAGGACCGTCAAATTCTAACTGCGCCGCACCACAATCAAAGCCAGTGGAACTTTTTGTTGATTTTTTGCCGGGTTCCATTTTGCCTGGACAGTTGGGATAGAGAAAGACAAAACGAACACATAAACCCCTTGCAAGAAATAAAATGTTCACAATTTAACATACCCAACGAGCAACTGAGCTTGAGGGAAGTGGTGTCCACAAATAGCCGTGAGAAAAAGAAAACAATTACACTTATTCAAGAAAAAACTACTGTGTAAGGGAGCTCACCTTCTACGTGCCTAGTATCAGAATTCGCGTGGTCACTCACAGCCTGATATGACACTGGTTTTCTTATTAAAATACGGCGGATGGGCAATTTCATGTTGGAGCTCACCTTCTACGTGCCTAGTATCAGACTTCGCATGGTCACTCACAGCCTGATATGACACTGATTTTCTTATTAAAATACGGCGGATGGGCCATTTCATGTTATTATCTATTGTCTTGCAGCAGATATGCACTTTTTGCAGCCTTCCAACGTCCTCTTCGTACACCTGCAGAAAAGGAAATGTGTATAGGTATGAATTCTGATGATGGTCAAGATAAACAGCGCAGCCAAAGATGAGCTAAAAGTTTTCCTAGCCCCCCCCCCCAATTTCTTCACAAAGATCCATACGAATGTTCTACCGACAGACAGTCCTGGCCGCAGTAATCTCGTGGATTCCTCAACGTGTTATATTTTTACGGTTACTTGTTACAAATACTACTCACTTTCATTTGTCAACAAGTTTAAGGAACTGATTTACTATTACTGACCCAGGCTTAACTCGTGGCACGTTGTCCATTCAACTCCCAGTTAGTTTCACAAGGAACATAGGAAGTGAACTACTTCATCTAATAACATGGATTGGAAATGGAAGCTTTCACTCGCCTATACCAAGGTGGGCTCCCTTATTCGAGGGAACCCATCCTGTGAGTTGCAGTGTTTTGAGGACTACCTGTGTCCAGAATTCCAGGAAAGTGTCATCACCTCAACGAATCACGGGAATTACACCCACTGTGGTCAACTCGGCTTATTTCGCTTTTTGTTTGCTTTCCGTTCGTTGAAGCATATCAGCTTAACTTGATTGGATCAATTTTGTTTTCCACTCGTGTATTTATAGTTCCTCCATTTGTCCATTGTAACCAGAATTGCAGAAATCTTTCAAAAACGGTTACCCATGCCAGCCGAAACATCGGATAATAACATCTCATCCCACTGACCTGTGCTTTGATTCTAAACTTTCCACAGTTGACAACAAATAACTGATCACATTCGAATTTTCTTCATCTCCCTTACGATTAAGTTCAATGCATAAGGAAGCGAGAATCATTATCACACCGTTCAAACAGGTTCATCAGAATGAGGATGACTAAGCGGCCATGTGACCATACTTTAGTTTACACCTAACACCTAAAGAATGCGTGACGGAAGTGTTGCGTAAAGACAAACGCAAGTGAATTGGTTCAAAATGTGTTACAGTTTGTGAGCAATATAGATAATTTAATCAATCTTCCTCAACAGTTCACTATTAATTTTTATGATCTCTGGAGACAATTGGACAGGTAAAGGCCTCCGACTTCAACCAGTTTGACTTATTTTTTGAACCATACTGGGTTTTGTGTTAAATAAAAGTTGTTTTCAGTAGAAACTTCAATGAAGTCAGTCTTGTTGGGGCTCATCAGCACTTATCAGGTGCACATAGGACGAAACTCGGAGAGTTTAGAAACTGCGCCCGTCCGGTCAGTGGTTGAACGCATAACCGTTTGCCCTGGGGTGGCTGGTCAGTAGTGTGATTAGATTTCGCTAAGACAGGGCATAGCGCCAATCGTCCCTCAGTAACGGAAACCACATCACGTGGTCACACATTGCTTGGGTTCCCGAGTAAAGGCTTCTCAGAAGGAAGTTTCACATTTCAATGAATGGCTCATTATTTTATGTTTTTTCTCCCTGGACAGTTTGTAATTGAGGTAATATCCGATCACATCAAACCAGATGTATTACTAGTCTGGTAATACAAACTGAAGGACGGTTCACGAATTATCTAGAGGCATAAACACTATTTCTTGGGCGTATTCGAAACAAGCTGCTGTTGGATTGCTTACCGTGAGTCGGTTCACTTGAACTTCCGGTTGGACGGACAGTGGAATCACTCCAGTTCTCCGATAAAGGGGCATTCCATACAACTGGATTGAGGCCTTGAATTCACACAAATCACTTGGTTGTCGATCAACCGTGAAAAGGACGATTTCATAAGGGATACCTGACGATAGATAATATCGATCGAAATTGTGAGTACACGCAGCTAATGGGATTCCTGATGTAGTTTCGAAATAGGTATGTGTCTTTGTTCACACGTTCGTAGGAAAGCAGCCCACGATACCCGAAACGGATCACCATTTGCAAATGAAAAGAATATTAATGCTGGTTCTAATGAATAGTGATGGTTTGCTCACCGGTCAGTCTGGTTGAAAACGGTTTATTCAGAATTCGAGGTGACATTATCAGTGAGCTGTGAGTGGAAGTGGAATGCACTTCTTCTCACAAAACTGACGACATCACCTCGACTTGTGATGGAGCACTTGCAACAAAATTGCCCGGTTCGACGGACAAACCAGCGGACACACTCACCCTTTGCAACGGTTTCCGTCAGCGTAGGTGATAGTCCGATACCTGCAGCTTCAGATGTCTCTCCTGAGTAGATCCACCGATGTATGTCAAACGTGTAACACATACCGCACTGGGGTACGGTAAGAGTTATATTGTCCAGAAACCAGCTTCCAGCATGCGACGGTCCCTCATCCCACAATCGTAGGGTTTTCAGCTTGCGGGTTGACAAGAGAACAAACGGGTATCAAGCAAAAGTGTACTTTTACGAACAAGGCTTGCAAGATTACACGTTCCCTGGAGGCGAGGCGTTCAAACAATGACTTGGCAGCGAAGTATGAAAGCCATTTCCAGCAAACTCAGCTGCGCTGGATGAGGACCCCCAGCCACCTCAATACCCCGAGACGGGCCACATCAATGGCTACAGACATCATCATACATGGCCCAGTCGCACACTCAATGGCGCTCACGCATCAAAGCTATTGCCTTCAATGCATAGCTCCTTTTCCACCCCCTCGCTTGAAAACCCACTGACACTGCTGGATTTATGCACCAATTTACCAGCTGGCGCGTGCAATGCGCAGCTACCTACCCCCCCCCCAATCATCGGTGAACGAAACTGTGGCAGCTACAACCAGTGTACGACGAGTACGCGGTTCTTACAGCTGACAATGATG